GATGCTGAAGCTGCTGTAGCGCTTCCAACATGAGGAGAGATGAGTGACTGACTGAAAGGGGGAATGGATTGGAGGTGACCATGTGTATACAGTATGTACAGGTTTTGGTGCCACTGCACAGATCTGACACAAACCTGATTGACGATTCCAAATTTCCAATAAAGTTACTTCTGCTTTAATAATCATCAGTTCACTGAAACGTCTTTAGTACTGTGAAATTCACCTATCAATAACAAAAATACTATAACCATTCTATGGTTGCTTTAATGGAAGGAAATAAAAGGATAAAGAACCAATGACATTCATCCAGTATATCCAGATGGTCCTCATCACTTTTAGCAGCTCATTTAAATAATTATAATTTCAAGAACAAAAAAATGTGATTAGCCATAGTGCTGACAGCTCTCTTTTTGTTGCATTTTCAGAAAAGCAATTCTTCTCTGAAGTGAGATCTGACACTTTGCTGATTAGGAGCTAATTATCCTATTAAAGACAAAGTACTGTAGAAGCTCTCACTATAGCAGAACGCCTTTATCAGACACAAAGACTAAAATCACACATAAATTACAGAAAATGAGTTGACTTACAATAGAAAGTTGAAGAACAAGAACTTGCAAATTAAGGGTGAAAAAGCAACAAAATGGCTTGAGAATTACCAGCTCCATTTGGCATGAAGACAGCAGTGATGACCAGGCCACTGCCCTTGTGAAGCTTAACAAAATGAAACTTCTATAGATAGAATAGTTATAATCAACTATGTGAATACCGTTTCAACCTTAATGGCGTTGGGTGGCTCTGTGGCTAAGGATCTGAGCCTGTGGCTGGAAGGTTGACTGTTCGAATCCTGTGGCCGGCAGAGGAATCCTACTCCATTGGGCCCCTGAGCAAAGCCCTTAACCCCAATTGCTCTAGGGGCGCCGTATACGTAAATAGCTGACCCTGTGCTCTGACCCCCAAGCTTCTCTCCCTGTCTGTGTCTCATGGACAGCAAGTTGGGGTATGTGAAAAGATAAAATTCCTAATTCAAGAAATTGTATATGACCAATTTCTTATTATCTTATCTTATAATGACTTACAGAGGAACCTAAAATGCTGAAAGTCTCCCAGTACAAAATTAATGCGTTTCTAAAGACATTCACCACCTCGCCATCTAGATGTCTGTGAGGTGGGCAGGCAACTATAATGGCTCAACCAGACAAAATAAATAAATAACAATACTGGTGATGGCATGAGACAAGAAATGGTGCTTTACAATGAAGTAGATACACAGGTCATAAAGCATCCATGGTGATCAATGCTTGAAGGGACTTTTAACTCTTGAATTAAGTATATATGCCTTAATTGTGGCCGGTAGCCTAGTGGTTAAACCTTTGGACAGACAGGTTGCGCGGTGAAGTCAGCCCTGCAGACACTACTATTGCTCCCTTGAGTGAGGTCCAGGGCATCCATCTGTATAACTGGGAATCAGCATTAACTGGAAGGGTCACCACTGTTATGGATATCCCATCCAGGGGGGGGGGGAGATAGATACACTTGCCTGCTTAATGTTACAGAGAGCAGGATGAGATCTGGCTGGCTCTGACCTTTTTACCTTATCATCTTTCATGTCATTCCTTAGACGGTTGCTTTTCGCAACACAAATTCCCAAGACCGAGGAATGCACTTCCAGGTCAGATGAATCCCTAAGTGACATCTCGTCTGAGTGTGTCGCTTGGGTTAGACACAGCTTGTTTTTTTAGTGTGGAGTGGCTCAGGCTGGCGGGCTTGCGCAGATGAGCTGGAGGAACAAAAACCATCTGGATATGCCACATGGATCACAGGGCGAACTAGAAACGTGAATGAAGTTGGTAGAAAACTGGAAGACCACGAACACCTCTCCGCCCTCCCTGCATCCGAGACAGGCTGGCTGGATGATTTTGATTAGATTTAACTTGTCCTCTTTCCATTCATCCTGTGTTTCTGCTATAGGCTCTGAAAATCTACCCTGACAAGGAACAAAAGGCTCCGATTTTAAGACGATGAAATGTAAATGAGATGCATCTTTTAGAAGAAAAAAAAGCTCTTTTCACTAGAGTACCCTTGTTTTGTGCTTGGCAAGAAGTCTGTTGGATTGGAGGAAAGGTGGGGGGTCATATTTTCTTGAAAAAGAATTACAGCATAGAACTTTCATGTTAATGATGTTTATTCAGTACTTATATTCACTTTAATCCCAATTACTGCATTTACTGACACGCAAACATCTAATCATACTGGCAATACATTGGCACAAACAACACCTCAGCTGCATAAACATCACCCTTTTAATGTGCATAACATCTACGGGCACATAATGGGGTACAAGCAAGTTAACTTTTATGAATGTCGCAGAATCAAAGCAGCTTCTATTGTGGCTAAGTCTTCAACAAGCAAATTGAAGTTGATGCATGCAGTGATAAAAGACGAACCCTTGGGCTTTTCTTATGTATGGCATAAACAAGACCACTACCTTATTATTACAGATTTTTTTTTTATTCCAAGAAAGGCTGTTTATCAAAGATACAAGTGCAGCCCAGATGGTAAATGTGTAGGTCATATGGGGACACTTCAGCAGTTTACATGGGGTCAGATGCAGTTCTGCTAATCTCATCCCACAGCACCACAAAGAGACTGCTGTGCACTGAAATTCAAATAACGCAGAGCTTTACAAATGTCAGGACCGAATCCCCAACAGACTAGAGTGAAAATGAAACAGAATTAGATGTGGCTATTCCTGTATGTACAAGATTAGGACAAGGGTTGAGTGAGGTTGTGTCGGTGTGGGAAAGCATGCTGTTTTGACCAAACTATGGCAGTCGGTGGAGAAGACGCTGAGCAACAGCCGCAGTAAGAGGCCAGTAAGTGACGGTAAATGACTGCATTACTCACATCCTTCGAGGATGTTTTTCTCCCAATTAAGCCCTCAAGAGTACAGATGGCGGCACTGGTGGCCTAGACTAATCCCACAACCCCCTGAGGATTACCATGGCCCAGTGCCTGATGCCCCTCAACAAGATTTGGGGTATGTTCAGGTGGAAGCCCTACTTTTGATTATTTGATTATCTCACGTGTAAATTCAAAGAGAGATTAGAGAAAATTCAAAGCTTCTGTGCCCCCTTCCTACAAGCCAACGCAAAAAAAATTTGCTTTGAAAGATTGCTTTGCTTCGCCAAGACAGAAGCAACAAACGAAATATCCTGCAACCCAGCTTCAGCTCAGCCAAGCACAGAGCCTGGATAGTCTACAGGCAGGCATGCTCCCCACACTGAGCGCGCAAGCAGTCACCATGGCACCCAGGCAGGTTTGCAAGATGGGCTCAGGAAGCATTCTTAATGAACTGCCTGGAGTGCATTCCCATTATATTCCCGTGGAAGACCCTGTGCACTCGTATTTGCACATCCGGAATTCGGAGCGAGCCCAAATCAGCGACCGAGTCACATTCACTACGTACGTCTTTATTAGATTGGCGAAATGTGTTAGGGATCCATAACAAGTAAGCTGAGGTCTTTCCAGAACACACTCTCATTTCAGGTACCGCCCAAATTTGTGGGCTGGCACCCCTCCCTCCTTCCACCTCAGCTCTCCTTGGGGTCCTCTATTCTGGGCTGCTCGTCTTAGCCGATCTGCTTTCACATAAGTATGTGTCTGCATGTCAAACTCCATTTGTATTTGTACTACTGTGCTGCCCCCCACACACACACACCACACACCAAACATTCTCCTGTCACTTTGAAATGGGAATGAAAGCAGAGAGCTCTACTGCTGAGCCCAGCTAGCACAAAGCTTCCCGGGAGAAAGCTGTGTTCTACTGTATATGTAGTCACAGAGAGGCAGAGCTTCATCTGGTGAACAGAGCGAGTTGGGGCACTATTTTTTGTATGATCACTGCATGCTTTGATGAAAAAGCACCCTAACAACAAAGTAACTGGAAAGGAATATATCCAATGCTCATGACTGTCAGCGAATGTTCTTATCAGAACAAGGAATATACAGTGCAGTCAACAAATCGCCCATGAATCACTGTTCATCTTTTCTCCTGTCACTAAATGCCACAGATGTCACACGAACATAGTAGATATACAGTAGAAGCAGCATACTGTATACACCGATGGGACTTGCTGCATTTGTAGGTTGAGCTACAGTACAACAGAAATCATAGAGACTACTTTTGTGCTCAGAATTATAACCACCTGGGTTTACATACTGCTTAAATTAATGCCCACTCCTTGTCCAAAATAGCACCAAAAGCCATTACAAACAATTTATCAATAACAACATGCGCTCATTGTTCCCACACGCTGTAGAAGAAGCCTTGCCTTCCAAACGGTTGATCCCATTAACTACTTATCACCCACTGTCCGGGGCCCATCTTAACAGAAAAATCAAACGACATAATCTGAAGCTGCTTAGATTCACATGCCAACTGTTCTCATCTCGGAGGTAAATACTGCTGAGTTCCTGAAAAAAAATACTATTCAGTTCTTTAAGGCAGTTGTTGTTTGTGTGGTTACGTTTCACCTCAAAAACAATTAATTTCAGCTTTAATTTGAGCTTTACTCTAGCTACAATGAACAATGCCCTTAATGCATGAAAGATCCCAGAGCTCTACCTCCACAAGTGACTGACAAGCAGGCAGAAGGGAAAACTCCCTGCCATCTTTCTTCTCTTATGACTGAAGTCAGACATGAACTACAAACTATACAGCTCTTTTTTCCAAGAGATAGCAATTAGTGCAGCTGAGCGCTTTATCCTGGACAACAAGATCCTTTGTTTGCATTGAAATACAGCATCTTTGTTGCAGAACTGTTAGAGCAAATACTGGATGCAGAAAATATACAGTGCCCCCTGACCTTTGCTCGAAAAAACAGCAGGGAATTTGTAGCTACAACAACAAATACATTTACTTCTTTTCAAACTTAGTGGCAGAAGGTAAAAAAACAAGACATGCTAACAAAAGGTGAAGAATAAAAGCTTTTTGCTCTCACCTGCCAGATGGTTTGAAATCCGCCGCAGTTGTATTAGAACGATGGACGCTCACAATTTTTGCTCCCACCCTTAAAATTAACCACAAAATGAGCAGTTAAAAACAATCAAGTAAACATTAGGGAAATAAAAGTGAATTCTTTGTACCGTCATGCCTTAGAAAACAAATCGTTAATTGATCACCCCTATCTCTCATTTGGCTTGAATTACGATGTCTTGAACATAAACAAATCAGAAACATTCAGTTACCAAGGTCAAGAACGGAGAAAATCTACCAATTATGACACAACAGTTCTAAAATTCTGAAACAGGTTCTGTTATTGAAAACGTTTAAAAAAGTAAAACTTTACTGAGTTTACTGTATTTGTTTAGGAATAACTAACCTCAGGCGGGCTAGGCTTTATAGAGACATCATCAGGCCACAAACTTTTTGTAAATCCAATTGACAGAAGGCATTTATGACCAGAAAAACAAAACATTTAAACTTCATATCATTGTCAATGAGACCACGAAACAGTGTGGAGAGGTTTCAGCTTTTATTTTCAATTTCCAGGGCTCTATGTATTCTGGTAATTGAATGTAAACTTTAACCAAGATATTACAGACCAGAACGCTCTCAACAGCTCTGTTTTTCCATGTTTCTTCAACTGACCCAGTAACAAAGAGCTACCTAATAAGCCCACATTTCATGGTACACTCAATACGTGTATATTCCATGACTAATACATCCATACAGCACAGTACAATGTGACCGCATGAGAGCTTTTAGCATTGGAGAAAATGAAGTTCCTTTAAGTGCTTTCTTCAGCATGGTTCATCTTGATAGGAGCGCTGAGGTGAAACTACAATATTCTGTCATGTACAGGGAAACGGAAACAATGATCTGCAAGGGTCTTTGACGTCGCTCAAAAAACACAGTTGCAAGGGGGTTTCACACATGATTTTTTATATCTTTTGCAGTGCGAGTTGGACTGCTCAGCAGAGCGATGCTTGCACACAACATGAAAACTAATCCAGGCTCTTCCCAAGAACTTGCTGTTGGGTGAAGTGAGGGCAGGGAATCCTTCTGCATGGTGCAGACAGCTCACAACATTACACCGTTCTGTTTGTCTAGGTCACTGGGAAAGGGCCAATTGGTGATTGGTGCTGCCTCGATAAAAGTGCCTCGTAATACTTAGTTTAGTTTTGGATATACTATCAGCATTATATTGACCCGCAAAGCACATGTTTTAAGCCATCGCAATAGTTTTAATTGAATTCTTCTAAAGAAGAGTTTTCAATTTTTTGAGACAATGGAAACTTCTGGAGACGACTCCTATTAGCCTCTGCACACGCTGAATTGAAAAGGGAAGTTGAGAGGACAGAAATTCCTATTGGGGTTGACTTATTGTAGACTCGGAGCTGATCGTACATTTAAAAGTGAATGAAAAGGTTTTGCAGTCAAAGACCAGGTGAAGATTTTAGAAGGAGTTGAAGGTGGAGAATTAAAGGTCAGTTTTGCCATGTGTAGAATTCCAGAAGAAATTATATGAGGTTTGGGGAAAAAAACCCACAAATGTGTATAAACAGAATTAGTAAAACGGAATTTAAGCAAAACGTGGAAAATGCACCTTTAATTTAGCCATTATGTACTCATTTGATATAGAAATAGATGTTCCAGCACCATATTAAACTTTAGTTTTACTAACAATGTAGGTGCTAAAGTTGTTGTCTCACATTCAACATTCACATTTTGTTCAAAATTTCCACAGACTGACCTTAAACTAAAAACACATCACAGTGTGATTTGTCACACACTGCTACAGTATTACCAGGCACGCACCCACTTCATGGATAGGAAATAATCTACTGTATGAATCATAGGAGCACAGGACCCACTCTAAAGTTTTGCCTTATCATAAACTCATGTTATCTTCAATAAAATAAAGAAAATCTATATTTTTTTAATCTGTAATTGATTTTCTATTTTATGAGATATCAGCGGTCTAGCAGCATAGATTAACACAACTCCTGTACCACAAGAAAGACTAATGGAAAATGAGGCCTTAAGGGCATTTTCCTTGGCTGATGACAGCCCAGTCTTGACACAGCAACCCTGTCCAGGAGAACCGTGGACTACAGTACTCTATACTGTATGCGCCAACCTGTGCTCAAAGCAAGAGCCTTTACTTGATGAACCACAAGGCAGCCTCAGAGAGGGGTTTTAAATTCATTACATAACAACCTCATATGGTCACACAGCCATCATGATGTGCTGTACAGCATGCGCCGAGACACTCTTAATTTATAATTAATATAATTATATGCTCCAGACTACGCTTCCTGGCGAAAAGTGGATTACATTAGCCATTATGAAGAGCCTGAGCCCAACCTTTTCCAGTAACAATCGGCTCACAACACAGGCACCTGACATGTTATTAATTTCACAGCATGAAACCCATATCACACAAGTTCTTTGATGCCTCGTTTTAGTCATACAACTTTAATGTTTTCAAAAAGGCATGTTTGTTCATTTTCAAATCTGTTGTTTCTCCATTTTAACACTCATTTGAGACTAAGCCCTCTGTCCCTCAAGCCAACCTAGCCTCTAACAAGTTTAACATTTGAAATTGTCACCATCTCACCAAAATTAAAGCCCACATTGCCCCCAGGCTTTGAGTGACTTAAAATACCTCGGGTTTTTTTTTACCAGTCTAGGTTTGTTTACCAGTTTTCAGTCTGTGATGAGCACCGTGCTTGCTATATTTGGGTAGCTCTTCTGATGAGTTTGAGAAGTCAAAGCTGCGATGTGATTGGCTGCCCAGCTTTTGCTACCTTGGCAACGCAGCAAATGGAACTGTAGTCCTCTATGAGGTGGAGGGTGGTGGTGGGGGGGAGGCTAAGGAGAGGGGAATCTGCTGCTAAGTGATTAAAAAAAAAAAACGATTTCCCTCCATTTACACTCTCCCTTATTCTTCATTCCTCTCACCTGCTGAGGGGTGGCTTTGTGGACCTCAGAGAATCGCTATGAGCCAGCGCCTCGGCAACCGAACTGTCGCTTGAAATACGTTTCCGCTGCGAGGCCTTCTGTAGCTCCAGGATCCTGCGGGAGGGGGAGAGCGAGGCCGTGAGGGGGGCAGGAAACAAAGCTGCCTGCCGGGGTGCCACAGATAACAAACGCAGGCATTGTGGCGGGATTATTCACAAACCCCACTGTTCCACTTCTACCTCCGTTCAAATAGGCCGAGAACTGAAAGGGAGAACCCTGGACAAATCCAGCCACGCAGAAACACAGCAAAGGAAGTGTGGAGAAGGAATAGCTCAAATCTGTCATTTTTAAGGGCCCGGCCTCATACCCTCTTGAAACGACAATACTTTGCAAACGTGGTGTAAATAGGATGAGTCTCAAAAGAACGCTTTGACCTGGAGTCCTGATTTGTTTTCTTTTGCAGAGATGAAACCCAAAAGAAAATCAGGAAGGGTTTTTAGGACCTCGTTCTTTTAAAACGGTCTCCTTCTGTGCTGGAAACTGCTGAAGCAGCTGAGAAACGGAGGGGAGGCACAGAAAAAAGAGAGGTTGCTCATTTCAGTAAAAAGGTTGATGTTAAACAAAACACCTGGATTGTGAGATTTCTCTTTAAGCACAAATGCATTAAATTCCAGTAAACTGAAAAAAAAAATACTTTTCATTCTTTTCATAGGGCACGCCTGCTTCTAAAAACATTGGACTGTTTAAAAAAATATCTTCTACTGTTGTTAGAAAAATGTCATTGTGCATAGAAATCACATACTGTATTTAAATAGTATACATTTTAAACTGTTTGGAAAATGCATATATTTTTGGAGTTTACAAATCTGCTTCTGCTAGGCAGCTTTACAGTACAGAGTACTAAAGCAGAGAAGGTTGTTAATACAGCCCCTGAGGCTGGTTAGCTGGTATGAGCTTCTCGCAAGATGCAAGGAGAGCAGTAGATGCACATTACCAAAGATGAGCTGGTTTTATTTTAGTTCAACATAGTGTCCTTCCATATTAAAATGGACAGATGGGACACTTAGATACAGAATACAGTATGTATTATACCAGCCTGACAACAAACAGGAGTGCTGTGGAATAAACAGTTGCTCCTGTGCTATTTTCCTTTCTATTTCTAAGCTAAATTCATGTATTCATTTGGTGGTTCTTTTAATGTAAGCTTTTTTTCAGCAAAGGCAATACTTTACAGGAATTGTTTTTTGTAGATGTGCACAGTTGTTTAAAACATACAGTATATGAACTGTAAAATTAAAAAAAAATAGCTCTTAACAGCCATACAGTAGAGAATGAAAATGCATACATTAGCTATGTTATGTAACCTGTAATAACAACAGCTGTGCACAGTATTCAGGAAGTTTGTGAAAGGCTAGAAAGAAAAATACTGAACGATTACTGTAGTCTTTAAGTACAGTAGAGGTCTCAATTCCTGGAGGGTTTGGTGTGTACTCCTTTACTATATGTAAGATGTCAGTTACATACTGTATACTGTAGCAGCTGGACTAATTAATTGCATAATTATAAAGAAGCACAGAGGCCAGCACCTTACTCCACACCTGAACCTGGTAATTAGTGTCACCCATTTTTTATACTCCTAATCAATTTCTGAAGTGTTTGGTAACAGTAGCTTTAATGAATGTTTTCAGTTGCCAATTGTGGCAGACCTTCAGAAAAAGCCTGTTTAATAAAACAATTAGCTTAATTATTTAATTGACTACTCAGGTTGGAGCAAAAACCAGAAGACACCAGGCCCTCCAGGAATTCTCAGCTCGAGACCCCCTGTTTTAAAGGTACTGTAATTTACAGATCACAAATTCAAAAGCTTAGACTTAGATTCAAAAACGTTGGCAATCTAGTGGCTTGTTATACCACATACAGTAAATGTAATCCGATGGAATTTAAACACTGAATGTCTTTCCACGGATAATGAACTCTCAGCATGTCCAGAAGAATAACCACAGATGAAGCCAATGAGGCTGGCCAAGTCTTTTCTTCAACAGGAACTTCATATTTGCGGTTTTCAAACCGAGAAATTTTACAAAGACAATACACATTGGCAAACCACAGCTTACATCTATAGCAGGAATGCAAATGGTCGGTTTCAAGATTGATGAAGAAAAGAAAGTATTCAACTTGGATACAGAGGTATTTGTTGGGGTGGGGGTGGGGGGACTTTAAAAAAATTGTCACGTAAAATGGAAACTGAAGGTTGGAGGAATAAAGTTCAACTGATGGTTCTGTCAGTTCCTGACAGCTTTACCTGTTTAACTGTCTTAAGCATTTTACAGTACACCTTTCTGTCACAGGTGGTTTCTGGAAAGAAAAGACCAGAAGCAGCAGCAATGCGAACAAAAAAATAAATTAGCTGATAGATGGAACAGCAAGTGATATGTGGATGTTTTCTGCCAGATACAATCTCATCTGGGGGCAGAGACAAGAAAAAAAGGTTAAGTAACTTTGTTTTATGCGTCTTAGAGAAAACAAATCTTGGAGTAAGGCAATGGGACCAAAGCCATCACCATCTCTCCTCTATAGCCTGGAAATCCCTTTCATTGCTTCCTTTATAACAGCAGACTGAAGTTTCCATCTTCAGTTCCTGGCCTGCCCCTCCCAATCAAATCCCGCAAAGACTGCTTTACAATTCAGTTGGCTGTGGTCTCCAGTATAAATGTGGAAAATAATGATTGCAATCACTGGTTCGGCAGGAGCAGTCACTCTCTTAATAACATTTAGATACATGCGTGTATCCATCTGTCCCCTCTGACCCTCTCTTCATTAACAAACAGCAGCACACATGGGTTTTGAGGTGGAAAAGAATGCCAAATATGATTAAAAAACTGTTTTCATTAAGTCTTACAATGAACTTAACGGATAGCAGACAGGGATCAAGGTACCGTATGTATGTTTTTCAACAATTAAGAAACACAGTTTTCTTATGAGTACCATGTTCAGATGTGCTGTAGGATGTATTAAATCAGCCAAGTTTGAGTTCTATTGTTCTCTGGTCCTCAGAACAATATAAAAAGCATTCTTCTAGGTCAAATCTATATAGTGCAAAAACTGTCTTCTCACAGCAGAGATCTAGTAGGACAAGACAGAAATCTGATTTTTTTTTATATTAAGTGGGTTTGATTACTTCCAGTGACCATCCAAGGAATATTATCATTTCCATTTACCTCATTTCAAATGGCTTTTATTGTTAGATCCCACTCTGACTAATTAGCACATTGGTGTTAGCATCGTTTAGAGAAATTAAAAGACTTTCATCATGAAACTAACAATTTTAGCTAATCAAATTATAGAATATCAGTGAAGATTTATTCTCATAGATTAGCCACAATAAGGTATTTAACAAAATATATTACTGGGTCACCACTAATGATGCAGAATTCATTCAGGCAAGTCTCAGCTAGCAAGAGTTAATTTACAGTTTGAGTCTGTATTTTTCAGAGCAACAGTTTATAAAAAGAGATCTACTTCTTTCAAAGGAGTTTACTTTAGGAGAGACTAAAAAACTGAATAAAGGCGACGACAATGAGATTAAATCGAGCAAATACGATTAAATTGGCAGAAGAATCTCCTCCACCACCCCCTGCACTCTTGTTCCTCATGACGGACTGAGAAAACATTTTTTCAGGATTGTTCATTAAAAATACAGGGGCTGGTTAGCGGTCTTCTAGTGTGAAAAGATGCTGTGGATTCATTGTGTTGACCTAATTAGTCAAGATGCTCCTGGGAGAAGCAATGGGGTCACAGGAGATGCGTTGGAAGATGATTCGGCAGGGGTGCTGGCATGGGACTGAGGGCAGGGTTGTGCAGCAGGGCTGAGAACAGATGGCAGGTGAGGCACAGTGAAAGGAAGGTGATGTCAATACCTCTTCTTGACAGGAAAAGGGAAGCCGGAGTGAGAGGAGAAGAGAGACTTCTTGGTTCGCCGAGCCAAGGCCTCGCTGTCGGAATGCGGGCTGGTCGGGCTGGCAGGGTGGGGAGGAATAGGAACGCAGAGATATTAGGAAGGAAAACAAAGAAAATTGGAAACTTCAGTCATGAAGGGGGGGGGGGGGGGGGGATAAAACTTTAAAAGACGGCAAAGAATGACAAAGCCTTCCAAGTACCAAATGGAGTAATTTCATTAACTGGTTTGAGGTCCAGTGTTTTGGGAGGTTTTACATTTTCAAGCACCACTTCCTTTGGCGATCCAAATCGGCCTCTGAGGCTCTCCTATGCTTCCCATACCTGCTTCGACAGCAGCGTTCAAATCTACCTGCCCCCATCCTGACACATTCCCATTAGGGACAAAGCTACAGGAGAAGAAACCTGAAGGATCACTCCTCCGTCGTTTGGCACCCGTGGTGCGTGCCCAGATCTTGGTTGTGGGAGGACTTGCGTCTCATGGAATAAAAACAGCCTTCACAGCATGGATTTTAGCCACCTTGCTCTGCAAACTATCCCACGCAATGTCCAATGATGAGAAATAATACCGCATGAAGACTAAAGACATCTTGGAGATTTCCGACACTCCGATAAGGTGGTCCAGCTCATCGTCAGGCTTTCTCCAAGCTCAAAACAGAGTTTAACATTGCAACCGTTAAATTAGCAGAGTATTTCACCAGTGTGTCCCATTTATGATACATTCATGTTGCTTTGTCAGATTCCCATGCTTTGTTTCGTACTGCATATTATCAGGGACAGACAACCCCCGGGTCTTTACATAGAGAAACATCTTGCTTAGCATGTCAGGATCCCTTGGGTTTTTGCTTCTCCAGACACAATGTTTGGCACCTACACCGGCATATTCTCGGTCATGTTTCGCAAATGTGAGTCTGACTAATAAAATAGCTCTAACAATGAAGAGGTAAACACTAGTCTGAAATTGTTAATTCCACCTTTTAATAATCACAGGGAGAAAAAAGCATGGCAAATCTTCTGGCAGCTTAACTATTACTGCACTCAAGCGTTTCTACAATTCGAAAGGTTTAAAATGGCATGCACAGTTTCATTTGGAATTCAAGGCTGCTATTTGTTCTAATAGATTAAACTAAAGGTTCTGCAGGTTTCAAAAGAAAAAAAATGAACGTGAAGTTGATGAGTAGTGTGGTGCGGTGGTGCATATAAGGGATTGGAAGAACTCTAAGACCCAGCTTCATAACTGATAGGACCTCCCATTTCATCCTTGTGTAAGCCGTGAGGATCATTTATTAGGAATTCCTTTTAAAGCTGAGGCATGTCCCAGCATGAAAACCACAGTGCCCTGTGAATAATGGTGTCTGCCTAAAAGCATCAAAAGAGAAGATATTTTTGGGACCATGTTAAAAAAAGAACAGGCAGCGACGAGTACACATTCATGAGAGAGGCTGATGCACACTGTGGGGGAAACTGAGGTCATATCTCAGCATGCTGGCTGTCTATGCGTGAACTCTATGCACTTGTTTACTCATACTGTATGTTCTCTCTACCCATTTCAGTAACATTGATTGACATTGGTTTCTCAAATTGGCTGGTTAGCAATAAAAAGCTGCTGCTTATTCAGTGTATTAGTAGTGCCAAGTCCTATTTAAAAAAAACATCCTGGTACACAGTAATCTTTCACTAATAAGAAAAAATAGAATGGAGACTTTATCCCTTCTTTATTTTCTTACACAACCAAACTGTGGAAAAGTATTTGGCAGTATTTATTTTGTTACTGAGTACGTGAACACCTGCATTGCAGTAGGGCTGTTCAGATCTAGTGATGCTCAGGCTGATTATACCAAACCATCTGTCAACACTGTCCTGCAAGTCTTTCTCTGTACCTTATACTTAAAAAAGATTTCCACTCCTAGTAGCTGCTTAAGAACCATTATCATGGTGATGTCCCATTCTTAAAAGTAGTTAAAGTTAATTCTTCTCTTAAGCATGCATATATAATGGAGTTCATTTGAGTCTATTGCAGTGATATAATCCCCATGGAACCTGGGTAGTGTTGAATTTGCCCTTGGCAGGAGGCCCAGCCTTTTAGCGTAGAGCATTCACAGCTAACTGGGGAGTAGTGCTATGTTGGTTTAAGAGCAGGGGTGTTAGAAAAGGTCTAGAGCTGTGCTTCTTGCATATAATCAACACTTATTCTGTAACAAACAAAACAGGATTTTATTTTGTACTGCTTGCCTGGAACTCCATTTGTTATTTGAGAAATGGTGACAACCCATTGTCCATGTCCATGCAAGTTGGGCTTGGTAAGAGTCGGTCAGGCAGCCAGACTAAACTGTCAAGTGCCAGTGATTAAAATTGCTAAAAGAGGTTAAGTCTGCATGGGGGAAATCAAATTCTTTGCATTACTTTTTGTTACCCCCCCAGAATCTCTGACATACAGTACAGGTTCAACACTCAGAGGCAGATAATGTGTCCCAGGGAAACTTGAGATGGCATATTAACTTCCAACTTCGCTTAACATGCAATTAGGTTTGAGGATTTTTAATTGTTTTCAAAACGAAGATTTAAAAACATGAGGTTTTAATTATTTTGACTGAGGACTATTGATACAAAAGCTGTTTTTAGATGAACCATAATTATTAATGAAAAAAATGAATGAAAAACGAGACTGGATCAAACTGGAAGAAAAGTCTATGGGAAGATTTAAGAGCAACAAAAAGGCATGCAATATTTCCAAAACAACCAGATGAAGAGTCAGTCAAAATTCACAGGTATTTGGCTAAGACTTGACCCTCCCAAACACTCCGGGCTCAATAACCTCTAAGCATCAATAATTCAAAGGGTAGCCCAGTGGCATGGCGAACACTTTGGCCTCCTAGCTTCTGGGTCCCAGAGTTCAATCGCAGCTTGGGGCACTTGTCTGTATGGATTTTGTACCTTATCCCCATGTTGAGGGTTTTCACTGGGAGCACTGGCTTCCCATGAAAACTGTTAGGTTAGATGCCTACTCTAGATCTTAAACTTTCTATTTTCAGTTTCAAGAGGATTTCATACTTGGGGTTCCTGTTCCTGGAACAGCAGCACAACAGGTGCTGAAAACCGGCAAATGAAAACCATTGGCCCAACGGGCTCCTCTTGTTTCTGGCCCTTCTGCTGTTCTCCTGTCCCCTGGGGCCCTGTTCATCACTTACCTGGGAACTGGAGAGGTGGGTGGTGAAGAGGAGGATGATGGGAAGGCAAAGTGCCCTGCTCCAGAGCTGGGTAACTCCCCAGAAGAGTCCACAAGGTCTGGCATCCCAGGAGAGGTGCCCACAGTCTCCGTGACAACCAGCTCGGGGTCCAGGATAAAAAGCTCATCTTGGGAAATCTCAGTCACATAATTCAAATGCTCCTAGGGGTTGGGGGAGGAGTTAAAACATTAAAATATTACCCAATGAGCTAAACTAGATGTGTTTTTTTATTGAAAAAATATCTTGACAGACCTTTTTGTTACAATACACTCTTACACAGCTGTGAAACTCACTGTATGTTTTTCCAAGGCCTGCTGTGGTTGCAACGTTTCGAAAAAACAATTCGATAGTGATGTAATGAAATGCCTTCTTACCTGGGCACGATCTATTCTGTAAAAGCGATCCGCTGTTGTGGCTGAAGAAAACAAGAAAAAAAACAAGCATCAATTTCTGTGGATTTAGTATTTTGTTACTTTTATTAAAGTAAAAAAAAAACTGACAATATTAGTGTGCCATAATATTCTGCAGGGCTGCATTGCTTTTGACATCTGTGCACATTAGAAGTTCATTTTAAATTTGTTTCTCCAATATAATTTTAACATTAATTAGCATTAATGTAGATATTTCTTTGACGAGTTTTAAATATAACTCCAAGAACCTCAAAATTACCTCAAGAGAATAAAAGGGCATTTTGTTCATCTGAATTACCAAAATTTACAGCTGCCATTTTAAAATTTGAACTATGACATTCGTTTAGAAATATTTAGCTCGTTTCATCCCCTCAATTATTTATTTATTTTCCATTCAAACTGGAGTCAAGATGACTCAACACCCGTACAGTTTTGATTATGTTTATTGTAACAAAAAGCTGGATTCCAAGTTTTAGCATAAGAGAAGAGGTTCTATACTGAACAGAAGCCAAGATTAGGACTGACTGAGCAGTGGAAACATCTTGGGCAGAACTGGACAAGCAGTTATAGAGCTCTAATCTCATTATATAGTCTGATCCCGGGAGACATTGTTAGCCATAACAGATGTGAAACAAGAAGGGCTCAATCCAGCCCAAGATCCACTGCAATTAACTTTATAGCTGGTGAAAAACAAGAGAGGAGGATTGTAAGTTAAAGCAATTAAGTGACTAAATGTGGCACAGTATTTATCATCAATGATGTGTTAAATTAATCCAAATGGCAGGGTAACCGATGACGTTTATTTAAAGGTTATACAAAGGTATTGAAACTCATTCTCTCCGTTTTCTCTTCAATGATAATGCTAACAGCTCACAACGCTCGCACAGTTAAAAACGAAATTACGATGTTCTAATATTCTAAGGATATCCAAGAGAGCTAATAACTTAGAGCTAAATCACAATGTTTACTAGGTCTGCATTCTCCTTGTTCTATTAAGACATGGATTAATGAAAAAACACCTTGTACACCAAATGAGACATGATGAGGCAGAATAATTGCTAATCGGTATTTGGATTTAGAAAGACACACAGGTGGTACTTAATATTAGTCATTGCTGTACTCCAAAGGTTTATGCAGACCGTGTCTGGAACCACATTCGTGCACCATTAAACCAGCACAGACACATTAGTGATTAATTCCTAAAACCCTGAACTGGAAGCCAGTGTTCTATTCTGCCAAGATGAAATGGAACCTCAGAGTACAGAAATAATTTGTTTCATTACAGTGCAGGACATGCCAGTTAATTAAACGGATTAAATATTCTGGATTTCATTGTTTTTGATGTCATTGCAATCAATTTCAATATACAGTATTAACAGTGACACATTTTTAAATTGACAGTGTTGAAAATGTGGGGGACAATAAAAACTCAGTACTCATATTAACCCCATGATAACAGCTGAAAACCCTGAACAACGCTAATCTCCTGCGACTCATAACGATTTTATGATTTCAATTTAAAAAAGCACACATAAAGTCAGGAATCTTTATAGTTCCCACACGCTGTTAAAAGCAAAGGCAGAATGTTTTTGGAGTCCTTACTGCAAACACATTTTCAATATAGGAGCATGATAACTGAATTAAGTCTTTGAAATGAGCAGTAAATACTAGGAGCTGCATTGGTCCACACTTACAATAAAAAAATAAATCAAAGGCATTCAGATTTTGTGCAACTCTAGTGCACAGTTTTAGAACTTAAGACCTAAAATGCTGCTCCTTTAGAAGGAAGACCGAAAAGTCTGTGCTTTACACTCATCCCTTTGCAAGAGTCTCAAATAAATGCTAGACTTCTGTACATAAAATACTGTATATCATTATTTCCTGTCCTGATAAAAATAAAATGGTGCAACGTAATAATCAATCTCAGGGTTTGTTTAGAATAAAAAGTCCCAGGAGACTGGGATTACAGTATGTTGATTACGCACACAGTTCTTTTTTGGGTAGGTGGTAGGTAGTTACCTCTCTGTGGAAAAGCTATTTTTTAACCAGATTGACGGAACACAGAACAGCTAAAGGGATTCTGAAAGATCTCACAGTGATGGACGCAATCTTGCAGATGAATCCCATGTCTACACTAATGGCCTGTTGAAGCTAGATGCTGCTATTTAAATTTTTGGAAACAAGAGGCAGACATTTTGCCCATTCAGCTCATTTTGTTGCGAGTAGATGGGATCTCATCTGGCCATTTGCATACTCGTAAACCCCCTTTGGAATTCTTCTGCATCCAAAGAATGAGTGGGGAAGATACGCCAGAGAAGGATACAGCCATCTCAATAAAAAAGCAAGCCAAGATCTACTGAGAAAGGAATGGAAAAACCCAATCTAAACACGGCTTAACATTCTTTAAACAGGTCTATCCCATGTAAACCATTAGCGAATAAAAAAAAAAGCAATTGCAAATAAATTCCCTTCAAATTTTTCAATTTAATTCAAGCAGTGTTGAAAACCTGAAAGTCCTGGGATGTGTTTCAATATCATAAGCAAGCACAGGGGGCCCTTATGGATGTTTATGGATTATTATCCTCAACCCAGACGTGTGCAGCATATGTGGTTCAACTCACTGAAATCCCAATAGGATCTTGACAGTGTTGCTCATAAACCATTACTAGTACTGCTCCTCTACAAGGCATGTTTCAGCTTTTATAAATCAAAGAAAGTCATGTTTTTAAAAAAGAAAACTCTGGAACAAGGGCGGTTCCTTATAAAAGCTTGTTTTCATCTAAATAAGAGGGGAAAACAATTTCCTTGATTATGAAATGCATCTGCAGGGGAGACCTTACTCAATTAAGTAAGGTAATGTTACTGTCCTTTGTGCGGATCTGGCTGATCCTATCTGAAAACTATGAATATACTATCCAACCTACATCGATGCACATCTGACAGTAGAACCTCAATTCTTTATTGTGGCATAGAAAAAACAAACTGTGCAAATGAGAGGTACTGTAGGCTATTCAGTCCATTTTAACCAGTCTGTTACGTAGTTTCTTATTAATCCAAGAACCTGTTTCTAGAAAGAAACTAGGGTATCTTGTACCATAATCTTGTAAATAAGTGCCTCCTGTTTTCATCTCTGTCCTCTGGTGTGTGTTTCACTGTTCATTTTGAAGAAGCTCACTGGCTTGACTGTCAGTGTCCAGAAGGATTTTGAATCAAGTCCCCTCATAATCCTCCTCGTTCAAGACTATAAAGGTTCAGTTGCTTTAGCCCCAAGGGTGTGTCTGGTTGCTGTTCTCTGGACTGATTCCAGGACATCAACATAATTCCTATGAAGTGGGGACCAAAACTGTAAACAGCATATTAGCACAACACAATTTTAACATCCTTTGATTTCAATTTGAGCTTTTTAATGATGTATCCTAAAGTTGTTTTCCTATCTAATTGCTTCCCTATATTGTCTAGAATATGTAGAAGTGTAATCTCTCAACACAAACACTTGTGTTTCATCGAGTATAACCTTCTGTGTCAATGTTTCCCATTTTATAGTTCTTCTTACCTGCATGCTTACCTACTTTATCTAAAGCTTTCAGAATTTAATCTACTGTTTCTACAGTGTTAGGCATCCGAATTTGGTATCATCTGCAAAACTGACTTATTAAATACACTGTATCCTAGAACATTGATAAAAATTAGGAAGAGCAGTGGACCTAGGACAGATGCTTTGGCACTCCACTGATTATTTGATCCCAGTTTGAGTATCTTCTCCTTATACTTGCCCTCTCTGGTTTGAAGTACCTCTGACAACATTAGCAGCCTCAGAAAAGGAAACAGAGTGACCAAGTAAGTAAAGAATATCATTAATTAATTAATTCTGGCTAGTCCAACACCAATGTAAGATTACCACCAAAAAGATTAGATTATTTTATATAATGGAATATTATAATATTGGTGACAAATCAAGGGACATGCTTAAAAAATGCAGATTATTTAAATTCCCAGAACGTAAGATTGTAAGATCCTAAAGACTGAGTGACATTTATGGCTTAGAAAGGAAGGATCAGGGAATATGCGATGGAACTAAACTGGAGTGAGGTGGGTTCCGACTGTGAACCGACACCAAAGTTCGTGATTCATTTGTGATCCAAGTCTTCCTGCCAAAAAATGAAGCTGGTAGCCAACAGATAAAGCCTCAGAGACCTTCCAATGATTGAAGGGGTGCAGCATGCACAGTTTTGCACACACTCCCTCCTGTTACAAAAAGCCTGATGGACAAATTCGACTGTGAAAACACCTGCCATAGGTGCCATGTAAAGTTTACAAGTTATGGGAAGTTTGTATTGCATAGCAAGCTGTGCAATAAGTTGCTCCCATGGGTGAACAGCACAGAGTAACTGAAGTACCGTCACCACCTCCATCCATCAGGTCTGTTTCACACTAGTCTCACTTCTCTCCCTGCATGTTTCTTAACTACACGTGATATTTAGTGTTTAATTATTCCATTTTTTAAACCATTTTTTTAATTAAGCATAATGTTGTAATTTATCTAATTAAAGTTAAATTATAGGTGTTCATGCAACTGCTAAGAGAGGGTTGCTTCTGACTTACATAAAACTCAGATTATATAAAGATTTGTGGAACAGAGCTTTTCTGTAAGTCATGGAGTGGGTGTGCAGTATATGAAAACAGTGCTGATGTGTGCTTGCAAAAGGTAATGGATTATAACTTGCCCAGTCAGGCTAGATTCTGTTTAAATAAATAGCAGGAATGAAATCATTTTCCATTAGGAAAGGATTTAAGTTCTGGAGTCTTTTGGAGTCAGCAGGGTGATGTCATCATGCAGATTTATAGTCAACCACACATTACTGCTAATTAACTTCAAGCTGATGAGTTATCTTTTTGAGATAAATGATTTCTACCCTGCCCAGTGGGAGAGAACTACAGCAAACAAAGTAAGAGCTGCTAGTCAGTGTGTACCACAATGTGTCTTTTGTTATCATAAATTCGCCCCAAAAACAGAGATAACAAAATAATTTGTTTAAAACAATCTCTCATATTTTTTCAAAAAAAAACCTAAATGGAGCTAATTTTCTCCATATTCATCTTATAGTAGTGAATCATTTGCGGTTTCTCATTTCTTTTAGATTCAAACAAGACTGAGGAGGATACCACTCTTACCTAAAAAGTAACCTGAAAGGTAGGACTAAACTGAAAAGACATTCCTACTCAAACTGACTTCTGTCTGTTAAACTCACTTCTTTTAAGATGATTTTAAAGTTAACTCACCAACAATTTAAAAGAATCACAAGCGAGTTCCTGAAAACTCCAAACTCTTAAAAGCTGGTTAAAACTACCCTGAGGGACTGCTCTCTTCTAGTTAAAATTGATCCTTCAGTTTAAAATGGCACCTACTATATAACTGTTGGACATTAAAAAATGATCTCCTCTATGCAGTTAGGTATATTTTACATCTGCAAATAAGAAAACAAAATTAACCTGGGTGAGAAGAGTCAGAGAAACTGTCACATCCTTTACAAAGTCCTGTCAAAACCTTGCAAACAGTGAGAAATCATTTAAAACTGAAGACACAACCAAAAAAACCTTTATCAATTAAAAAGCAAACTAACAGAATTGCACTTCATACAGTAACAGACAACATCTGATGGATCAAGCAGATCTTATCTAATGAAATTCCATGCGTACTGTGCACAGCGCTCATTTCAATATTCATGCAATCCCTTCAGGCCTGACATTTCATGCTGAAAGACATCTTGCTTGCCCGGTGTCACATGGGCTTGAAATGTTGCTGCTCCAGAAGCTGAACTATCAGACAAGGTGGTCTGATAATCAATGGTGCATGGTGGTTGCGTTAACACAAAAAAACCAACCTAAAAACCGTACCTATGACAGAAGTGTAGCAGAGCTTTCAGACTTGGCTCAGAAAAGGGCATATAATCAAACAGCAGTTGGGGGATTCCTGGATTATAATGAGCATCTTTGGAAATAATCAATTTATGCATGCAGGAGCAAGCATTGGTGACACCTTGGATGGAACAGAACCTGAACTACAGGAAGCAAACAGGAAACGAACATGAAAATAAACAGATCAAAGAGATCGCATATGATAAAGAGTGTCCATCACTCCCATCCACGCAATCTCAGCTTCATAACAGATTTCAAGTTTTTCTAAAAAAAGACTTTGTTGAAATCCTGTGTGCAAAAAAAGTGAAACAACTACTTATTTGCAGGTTTATGAGGGCAATGTCTATGCAATGCACACTATTACTGCAATGTTTCTTACAGTGTAAAATTCACAAATCAAACTTTTCAATAACAAACAGAAAGAGACTGGTTTAATTACACTTGTTTAACCAGATTAGCAGATTAAAGTCACACAACTGGCAGTGCTGTTACTGGAAAAAAATAGGACGAAAATGTATAACTGGTAAAGTAAGGCTTAGTTTAATTAAAATCATATACAAAAAAACCCTGTATATTTTGATCCATGACTTTGTCAAATTAACCCTTTTCTGCCTATAAGTAGGATAAGAATGTATAAACTGAAACCTTAACATACAATAATAGTGAGAACGTTTTTTACTCACTTCATTTTCTTTGTGCATTTTTCATCTTTATAGTGTGATCTGGTGACTGGCTGGTGGATTGATATTGGATTCTCGGATTTTATATTTTGTGTTAATATTTAACACCCATATAACCCACTGGGGAAATCCATTAGGGTTTAAAAAATGTAGCAGGTATGAAACCATTTAACTGTTATTGTTTAATTGTTTATTATCCCATTTTGTGTAAGTTTTCTATTTGCATTCAAAAAGTTTTTAACATACAGCACTTTGTTAAAGATTCTTTCCTTGAAAGACAATACGGACATACAGTATAATTAAATAATATAATTATTGTTATTGCTTAGATATACAGTATAAACCCACTGCTGTTTGGCAGCACAGCTAAGGGTCTAAATAACAGTTGGTTTGTGTTAGCCTTTCATGGATATTTCCTGGTTAAGTAGCAATTGTGTTACATACTGTATAAGCAGTTTTCCCCACACTAACAGTACATTTCTTGAAGACTTTTGTTATAACTCTGAATCTGTCCTAATAACTGTAATCTATATTAGGGGGAATATTCTGTCAGTGAACACAATTGAATCTTAGTCACAGGCAGTCAGATAAAGACCAGAAATGGAAGAATCCACACAAAAAACTAAAAACCTCTGCAGCTATCAGTACAATACATCACATTCATGGTGAAACAATGTCCACTTGACCCCATACAGGGCAGATTATACTTCTCATATTGAGGGTCATGTTTCACCCTGTTTGTCACAGTACATGTTCTCGTAGTATTTTATGCTCTGTATTGACCACCTTTCTAGTACAGTCTTGTTCCTCATCAGCCTTGCGAATGTCCATGTGTGTCAAACCTCTGCACATTAACTCAACTCCTGACATTGGCACAAGCCTGCCTGCAAAAACCCTCTATGTGATCACCATGGTTGTGCAGAACAAGGGAAGCTGGTATGCCTTTAATACACAGAACACATACCACTCTTTGTTACATAAGCAGCTGCTTAATTAAAACAAGATTGCTTTTAACTTGAGCGAAAATGCTAAAGAGGGAGAACTTACAGTCCAAGAAACACCACTTTGGGGAGAGCTTCTGGGAGGACAGAGTCTTTGATTTTGTGCCATCACCTTCCTGTGAAATGCAGAAACAAAAAAAAAGTTGTGGTCAGCTATAATCTACTTTTGACCAATATGAAATGAGATTAGGACTTAACTCCATTTTCAACAGCTTACTGGTCATGTAATACAAGGAAGTGCTTTATTACCTAAAAAGGCAGGCTTTTATCTTGTTCAGAAGTTAAAGACTTTGACAGATTCACGTTTTGGTTTGCCATTTTGGAGAGCTTACATAAAATTATGTTTCTTTGGCCCAAAGCTTTTTAGGTCTCTGTTTCCTAACCCACACAATGGAAGTCACCTTGATGGACATAAAAGACTATGTTGTTACGCTTTCTTGCCAACCTTGCCATTTCAACTCTATTTGGCTGGATTGTAAACTCCCCTCCAACACACATACATTCTGTTCCAGACAGTGGAGTTGAAAAGCAAAACTCACTTTATATTAACAGAAAAGAGCAAATTAAGTGCACTGCAATGCACTGAAAGCTTGGTCTTGGTTTTAAACATATCCATTTACAGAAATGAATCTAAATCATTTTCTGTATAAAATGTAAAATGATGTACTTCCTCAAATGTAACAATAAAAGGAATACAGTTACAAAAAAAAAATCAGTCACACGGAAGGAAAATGGCTATTTAAAATGAAATGAACCCTATACACTGACAGCTACAGTAAACTGAGACTTTGGAATGCATGTAGATGTGAATACAAAAATAAACAGCTATATTACAGAGACAGACCTCCTTTCAAATTCACAACCATGCAGTCACAGAAGTGTCAGAATGATCCCGCAACATGCTGCTGTCATTTAGCAAAATTAAAGAAACATGCAATCCACCAATGTAATAAGCTCATGCTGACCATATCACACACACTGAGCTGAGGCCTACTTAAAGGGAACAAGGAGAAAATCTCTTATTTAAGTAAAATAGGGTCACTTAGTTGAACCAGGACTTCTAACGATGTGCAGCAGATGCACACCAGATAAAGAATGCTATTTTTAACAGTTATGGGTATTATCAAATGCACAATTACTCTTGCCCAGACTGTATACATTCATGAAGAGCAAAACTATTAGATAGGCCTCACTGGGAAAAGAGGAACTTTTTTCTATTACAGAAGACATTTCCTGAAATAATGTATCCATAAAGGGAACGTGAAACAATTCATAATATGGCTGTCTAAATGGTTAATGAGTATTTCTTACTAACGTTGTTGCTGGGTGAGAAAAAACCCTGCCAAATGAAATCCACCCCAAATACTTGGAACATCTGTTCTTTTCACTAAATATTACCTGCAGTGCTACCTGAAAGAATGCTTTGAATGTCTGCTTATGTTTATAAGGCTGCTTCGTATCGTGCCCTTAATTTACCAAGAGAATTTCTTTTCCAGGCTTGTTCCCACAGTGACAAGGTATCCTTGTGTAACGTGTACAAACCTGTAGGACCAGCCTCTGGAAAGATGGGTGAAAGGAGATGAAATCCTGTGAAAAAGCACCAGGTCATGAAAATACCTGAATATCAAATTGAATGTTTGTCATTGAGAGATGGATCAGTTATTAGTGGAAAGGGAAGTAGCAAGATGGGGAGGGGGAATCTCTAAAGGGAATCTTACGGACCTTGAACAGAGTAAATCTGCTTAGTATTCTACTTATTTTCTCAAGTATTAAAAGGCTTATGCCGTGCAATTGCTGTGCCATACCTCTGCTCCGTCTCATGCATTAAACGTGATAGGTATACCACATAAACTTTAATGCCAGCATCTTCTTGATGAAAGATGCACTGTGCAATGTTCAATTGCAGTTTCCTATTGCAATTACAACAAAAGGTATTCGAACTCCACAAAAGCATGTTCAGGGATTTTACTAAAGAGCAAAATAATCAGTGCACCGCACTGCTGTTATACAGACAGTGCCCCTTAATTGTGCACGGATTTCATGCACTATTTAATGCATAAATAAAGGAAATGAAGGGAAAAAAAAACATGTGATCTTTGTGGCAGCACTCCAGCCCTCGATTCATGTTTGATGGGGAGGTGACGGGAACTGCGGTCATTAAAAAGACACCGGACTGGCAGTAGTGAATGTCTACCCCACCCCATCGCACACGAACAAACACACGTGGACACCAGCAGGCCTGAGGCACTTAAGTCAAGCAACGGGCTCCCTTTCCTTACCTCTTGCAACCTCTCAATGTGAGAACGACACGTTTCCAGGTCACTGTCGCCGGGGACAACAATGAGACCCAATGGGATCGCTGCAGAAGACACAAGGAAATAGGATTCCATTAGAACAAGTTACACCTCAGATAAAGCAATCTGCTCTGCCTGTTCTCCTTTATTGCTTCCTTACTTTTCTAATGCCCATGCTGAGAATACTGTCAAAAAATAAACAGATCATTTGCAATGCGAATAATTCATTTTCCTAGAGCAAAGGCTTGTAATTAATAATCTATGTGACAAGCTCAAATGTATCATTCATATTTACATAGTAATTTAATTTTGCCATCATGCAATGATATATATTTTTAATTGTGAGCCCCACAAGAGAAATAACACAGGTTTCTGGAAGATTAAAAAAAATCAAACATTAATTGAACAAAATTAAAACGTTTCAATGTGTAGATTAAATCTAGATTTGATTACTACCAGAATATTGGAAGAACTAATAGTAAATCTTTCAATCTTATTTTGTCCAATAAAAGAAAAGTAGTACCTCAGAATTATAAGGTATTACGTGATGTTCCACTGAAAGACTAAACATCTGACTTGCTAAAACATCCAAATGACTTCTACAAAAAATCCATACCAATTCTAAAATTTAATTTTAAATGTCTAAATGTTAATGAAAATACTGAAGAAAGTGAATTGAGATGAACAATGTTTACTGGGAAAATGCAAAAGTGATAAGGGCACAATTAGTTACAGAATGCAAAAGAAAATGACAAATGACTCTGACTGTACATTACTGCAATATTAACATTTTTAAACAAGAAACTTCACGGTTGGTTTATCAATCTGAATTATCTTCATTCAAAATGACTTCCGGAGGGCTATTGTACTGATCTCGGAGAATGTAACCAGGGCCAAAAAAAAACAAAACGATACCGAGTCTGGCAGGCTGCAGATGATCTAGATTCCAGCTTAGAATTAATACAAAGAACTATCCTCTGTTAAAATAAAAAGTATCACACTACTGTACACAATGGGCAGCAACAGCTTGCACCAACCTATGAAAACAATCCTCTCCTGAAAATAGATGTCAGAACAAGGGCCATTGTTTTATGCAAGTGCCAGAAAACTAGGACGATGTCAAAGCGAAAACAGAAAAGTGAAAAAGAAAAAGGTCTCATTAACAGGGTTCTCCTGGGTTCGTTTTGGCAGTTGATACCCTCATAAATTTAGCTATTTAGCAGTATTATTAAGCAGGCTACTAAAGATATTAATATTGCTTTTCCACTTTTCACCCAAAAGAAGCCGTCGCATGAAATCGGATGTATAATTTTCTGAAAAAATGAATAAGAACCTTGATTTGTCTTTTTTTTGTGTGTGTCAGGTTCCTGAATCAGAAACTGTAACTGGTCTGGCTGAGCTTGAATGATGACAGACAAACAAGCAGAACACACTTTACAAGAAGGCACTGTTGCTTGGCAACAAGTGAACACGCAGCTCTCTATTTCTATTTAGTTTACCATGTTAACATTTTTTGGGGGGTTTCAATATCAGTCTTACCTGGCCTTTCTAACAGCTCATGAATACTCCATATTACAATCAGTGGAGACAACAGGCTTCTAGTGCTGCCTTCCTCACCGTAGAAAAGTATTTCTGAGGGACCTGCTCTGACCCAAGACCAGCTTTTAATAATGTTTAATGTGCTCTTTAAATGCATTTTATCCAGTTCTTCAATTTTATTTAAAGCTCATTCAATCCAAAGAATAAATAACCAGGACAGTCTTGTCTCCAGTGCATCCAAATGGCAACAGATTTGCATCCAAAGGACACCGAAATTTTAATGCAGACTGCTGGACCACTCCACTCAGGGCTGAAAGACAGCCATCGATTTCAACCAGAATGTACTGTACTGTACGTAGGTGTTGCAGCGAAGTCATGAACTCCAGGTCTCCCAAATAGCAGGTGCAGGTCCATGCTCAGATTCAATTTACTTGCATTGTTTTTTTTATATCTCTGGAATTTTTTTTTTTACTTCATTGACACAAACTAAGAATTTGCAAGAAGCCCTGCTGGCTTGTGATCTGCAGAGCAAACAATCAGTGGAATATCATATCTGCAGCACTGCCACTAGAAGCAGAACCAAACCACAGAAATACATTTTAAAAAAAGAATTAACAAATTAGAGTTAGCAATAAGATAGCAGAGTTAGGAAAAAAGCAATATAGTCTTGCTTTCATTAAATTAAAAGGTGTTTGACAAGGAGGTTGCAAGATGCTAAGCACATTCTTGAAATAACATTTGCATAACATCAACTTTAACACTGCTTTTTTTCCCTCAAACTCTTTCCAAATTTTGCTAAACTGTAATCCTTTTTTAAATAAAATCTATGTATTGTGGGATTATTCAAATCAATGCCCTTATTTGTTCAATCTTGAGCTTCTATATAAATAATGTCAAAGTTGTAAAACTTAAGATTCTGTTCATATGGATTGGTAAGTCTCTGTAATTCATTTAGAATGATTTCAGGAACAAATTCCATATAGCAATACAAAGCGCTTTCAAGGGCATTTGTCAGTACATACATCCTACAAGCTGGTTATCAAAAGGGGATGAGTGTGTAGTTATATTAAAATACAAGTTTGGCAAAAATGGGGATAGTCTAAATAAATTAATTCAACTCGATTAAAAAACGCAAAACAAAAACTAGCCCTTTACTACATAGTTGTGCTTCTGCTGACATCTAGTGTTTAGGTCATTGCTGCACCATTGCTTTTAAAACCATTATGATGGTACATTATAATTTGTTTTTATATTACTTCAGATTAAACATCACGCTTCAACAACTGCAAAACTTATGAGGATTTTTATTTCAATTATGTACATAATAGGAAACAAAGAATACAAACAAATATGTTCTGCATTTCTACAGATGCCCCCTTTCCATTTATCAGCTCTCTTTTAACTGAACACAAGGGACTGCAAGCATGTAGAACTATTTGGAATCGTCTTAAACTGCTGTGCACCAATCCTTTAACCATGACATTTTTATCCAGTCATACACTTTTAAAAACTACTTAGTCCAATATAGAGTGTCAGTGAGCAACAGCCTAACCCAGCATACAATGGGTGCACAATGAATTAAGGTTTTATTAAATATTTAATATCAACATTTCATGGCTTTAAAGCCTGAAGCATCGGCGATCAGGGGCCCTCATTGCATGTGGATAGTTTGAGTGATTGAGCAAACTCATCTCCCTTTGGTTTTTTTAACAGTAGTTAATGGTATAAGCATGCTTTACTGAAACAAACTGTACAGAACAGTATGTTCTCCAAGGTGGTTTAGCTGGTATTTCTAAAGAAATGGGAAGATTACAAGTCTCTTCACTGGAAACAGACAATTTATTTTTCATATTGTACTTGAGATAGCAATGAATAAAAAAAAAAACTTTCATGTATTCTGCTTGGATTTCATACTCCTGCTTGGTCTTTTTTCTCTATTGCTTGAAATCTGCCCAGCTTCTGAACTGTTCAAAAATGATCTACTGTACATAAAACAGCCTCAAAGATTACCAGAAGGCATCAAGAGTTAACAAATTAGCATCATATTGTGCCTTTATGGTCCCTGACAAAGCATTGTAGCGTAACACTGAAAGAGTTCTCTGTTGGTGTGTAAACAGTTACTTTTACTAGAATGTCAGAGTATGGGACTACTTTCAGGTGAAATAATGTCTGGATTTTAAAGAGCTGTCATCAGTAATTCTTCAGGACCAATAATTTGCCATTTGTTTCTTCCTTACTTTCAGTGTTTGAAGAAAGTACATGTTTTTGCCATATACTGAAGTAGCTGAGGGAGTCTTACCTCTCATCCCACACCAAGATTTAATATCACATAGTATTCACAGAAAGAATAGCTTGCTACCACAACTGCAAACAATTAATAAGTATCTTCAATGGTCAAGATGGAGGCACTGGGGACTAAAATGGATTAAAACAGTCTGAGCCGCAATTGTAGATGAGGTGTTCTACAGCACCAAACCAAGAAAAGTTTAGGAGGGAGACTCTGCTGACTTTAAAGAGATGCTTACCGAACCAAACTGGCTGAAGTCCCTTTACTGAGCTGCGAGAGCAATTGAAAAACAAACCAAACAAAAAAAAACCTGGGATGCAGATGGAAAGTCTTTAAGCTTGGCATTTCGGGGACAATTTTAAGCAGTTCTGTCATTATGCATTCCTGCTCCCTTGATGTCTAGCCAGTAATGCCCGAAAGCATCCTGAATGGTTAAGTGAACAGCTGCTGCAAAACTGAGCAATTTTAGCACACCCCCAGTCTCATCCAGAACCCCTCCCAAGGCAGAAGACTGAAAGATGTCTGTGCACGTTAAGTACCACATAGATCAACTGGTCTGCCTTGTGCATACAAAATTAAGCAGCTATTAAATGATTATATCCTCTGAAGAGCAGGCGCAAAGTATATCCTTTAAGGTTTGAAAAATGAACTCAAGTCTGACAAAACGGAGTGCAATGAAACTCAGAGATCGGGCAATTTTCATATTCATTAGCAGGTCCAGAATGTCTCTACTACAGCCCAACACAAACAGCTTCAATTTTAAAGCACAAAATTTATTACACTTAGATCTTTTCCATCAATTTCCCTTCGGGATCAATAAAGTCTTATCTATCCATCTTTGATGCAGATAATCTGGTTTATTCTCTGAAAGTGATCAAGTGTCATCAGGCCTTTCAATGTGCTTTCAAACAGGAAGCAAAAGTGCCAATAAGCCAGGAAACATAAGAAATAAATGTGACATTATGAAAAACGTCTACATTTTTCTGTGATGCTCAATTGTCAATTTTCAGGTGTATCAGTACTGTAATTGATATTCTTTCTATAACATGATGCAGTTTTAATTTATGCAAACAAATTCTCAGGGCAAATGTTTAAATCTTCCCCGAGTTTCGGTGAAACAAAAAAAAAAACTAGTGCAGAAGTAAAGCTCTTACCAGAAGATTCTGAGCAATGCAACCCTGTCTATATCATATGCTAGAGCCTTACTTTTAAATGCCATGTGACACAGAGCTACGCAGACAATATAGTTAAGAAAAATTAAATAAGAGCAAGAGGGACGTGCAGATAAGTTTCCCCCAGAGGATATGACAGCAAGTTAATAGGAAAAGGAAAGCAGACGAACTCAGATCCAAAGATGTTAGAAGAAGATAATCACACAACAGTAATACTCACAGGCCTCTTTCAGCTTTTCTTTATCGTAATGTAAGGCTTCATAGTCATGCATGCTGATGCGATTCACACGGATCCGTAACCTCTCAGGGATGGGCTGCTGGCTGCAAGGAAACGACGGGCAGATGTTTATTTGTAATGAAGTGTGCAGGAAGAGGTGGCTAGGGGGCTGGGTACCGATAGCCAACTGGGGTACGAAGACCACAGCGGTTCACTTCCACACGCGATTCCCAGAAAGAAGCACTGTTTACCGTGAAACGTTACAATGCTTCGTACTTCACGCTGCTGGCCTTAATACCTCAGAGGTATTGTACCCCCCCCCCAACACACACACACACACACCTTGCTGCAGCTGCCTCGGTTTCATCCACTTTTTCCGCATTGAATTTATTTACGTTTTTTCTAGCAGAAGGAATTGCGATGTAAAGGCAGCTTGGTAGTTCTAGAAGTGTGGCCACACAGTTCTGATAAATCCGGCCAGTTTCAATATCTGATATTCCGGCCAGAGGCTCCACTGGGCTTGACTGGACTTGAGAATGAAAGCTCTTGCAGTGATAATAGGCATTTTTTAAAGGAACTGTGGACATTCTGTATTAAAATTCATGATTTAGGTGCCCTTGTTTCATGTTATTTATTCTAAAAAACACTCCAGCATATAGTCACTGTAGGTGTTCTGGGGGGAAAAAAATCTTTAAAAGCTTGAAAAATTTACAGTATATCAGTACTTCTCACTACAATAGCACCCACAATCCATAAAATATCCTTTTCTCTTTATTACACTTCCCAAATGTCACCATCTGTTCTGTGATCAGATAGTAGGAAAATATAAAGTTTATATTAAATAATGTGTACAGTACAGTTTAGAAACATAAAATACAGTTGCCTTCCAGCACTCAAACTACAGCTAGACCTTTTCTGATTAACTTTTAATGAGATTATTTTGAAAACCTTGCATTCACCACAAGGAACAATTTGGCTGAAAAAGTAGGCAACAAAACCAGATGAATTAACCATATGTGGCAAGAGATGTATATTTACCTTTACAATACTAATAGAAAAATATGCACAAAACTCTGAGAGAAGTAGAGTCCCATTTTGTGAACATTCTTCCTGGATTAGAATTGTAAAAACGCACCATACACGACACCACCCCACCCCAAGAAAATTTGTTTTGATAATGAAAACATTTTTTTCCACATGCATTTAATTTTAATTTGCAAAACAATATCCGGTTTAAAAATAATTGGGCAGATAAACTAGATAGCTGTAATGAGGGGACAAATGCTCCGTCTTCTAAAAATAGCTAATTTTCCACCATGCGCACATTGTCTTACTGTCTGTATACTTTATCTTTAAATTAACATCAAATATACTTTACTGGGGGGAAAAGACACCAAAACGTGCTCCTGAATCTGCAACACTATTTTCATATTTCGGGGTTAGAAAATCGGCATTGATGAGTGCATTTCAAACCAAAATTAAAGTAAAATGTACATGGTAACATGTAATACCTCCAATTCAGATCACAAAATAGGCTTAATTTCCAAGTATGCGCAGTGCCATATTGCTGTCATTGTTTGTGATTCAGAAAGCGCCCGATGTTAAGCAACCCTATTAATCTGTAAACAAGCAGGCTTGTGAATACATTTCTAATCCAGTAGAAATATTGCTCTTGACTTCAAGATGGTTTTTCCAACAAATACTATTTACTTTTTAACTCTACATGCAGACAATGTTGGAACATTTCTGCAGTGAAATCTTTTCTGCACAAGCTGTTCTTATTCACTCATACATCTCATTACATCAGTCATTACAGTGACTAGTGAGCAGGAAGGGCTGCTTCAGATTGCAATTCTAACCCGTGGCAAGACCAGAGTTTTGCAAAAACATGGCTTATAGTACTTTCACAAAAATTCACATTTTTATGTAACCGAAATGCAATAACCAGTCCGAGAACTTGGTACTGCAGTTCCCCCCATTAAGTTCAATTTAGAAGGTTTTCTGCAGTGCATTCTCCCTGGTAACTGCCTTTTTAACTCTTAAAAGGGATTTTTTTTAACCTTTCCATTTTTTGAGGAAAAAGATGGTGCGGGAGTTATTAGAGGGACATTGTCATTTAAGCGACAGGTCTTCCACAAAAGGGTGACTTGTGAGACCTAGACATCAGTTTGGTATGCTTTTTCAGGGTACAAAGATCAGACTCATTAATCAGTCATGCTTACCTTACTGAACATATCAACTGCCCTTGTCAATGACTGACTCAAACACTGCATTCCTAGACACACCGAAAGCAGTAGACTAAAGACAGCACACATCCTACTTCCAAAACAAAGAGCCATCACAATTCTAATGGCAGGAGAATGAAGACACATCTAAAGTAAAGAGAAAAACGACTGACTGCCTGTCTCCTGACACTTACTGTAAAATGTGAAAAACAGCATTACAGAAGCTGTCTCTACTTACAGCTTCTTTATCACAACTTCAGTCGTTGTGCCATTTAGAGCTGGTTTCCAAAAAAAAAAAATCAATCAGGTTTGAAATCGGTAGAAAAGCACAATGGGAACAGAAATATAAAAAATAACACTGAAAAGAATCACAAATTGTTTTCAGATACAGCAGTTTGAACTGCAATAAATAATTCTGCATCTTGCACATCTTACTGTATATTAGCCTCACAAACCAAGGCATAACAATTGTCCATCTTTTGAGTCTGGGAAAAAATGAGCTCCATTCACAAGCCCCAGGCCAGGATTTTCTAAAGAACACTTGCAGACAGTAGACCAGAAACACTGGACCTGGCAATCTGGTGTTTCACTGAGCAGAACTGAGGGCCACAGCTTTCAGGGTTCAGATTTGGCAGCAAAAGATAAATCACTGCCATTCAATTCTTTGTTTTTATTGGTCAGGCTTGACCAGAACTAAATGTAAGTTACTGTTTCTTCTCCTGGTTGTGCAAGATTCAGCTCCTATAATTCTTTTTCAGATTTGCCTGGGCATTCACTGCAGAAAAACGACCTCCAGTATTACGCAGACCTTGTCTGGATTATTTTGCACAGTGCAAAGGGATAAACCACTGCATTTCTTCCAACATGTGTTCCTCTTTCTTCACACTTCGGCAAGTTAACAAAATCCTACTCTGTCCAAACCATCAAGTTCTCAACCCACAACCTGTTAAAAATAGGTGGGAGAAACTTATAAAATGACATTTGTGTTAATTGGAAAAAAATTGAGTGTACGGTATACAGTATCTAGACAAAAAAACCATGTTTCTTTTAAAAATACAATCCAATTAGAGTGATAACATTTGAAAAGCATCTTATTAAAGAGAAAAAACCTGTTCTAGTCTCTAGTTATCACGCACTGCTAATTCTGGAGTGTCTCAGCTTGACTTAAATAACTACCCTCATCCAGCCCATAAGGTTACGTTGGACAAGCAGACAATATTAAAAGAATCAGAACTCTCATGAAAGGCAGATCATGGTCCAACTAGTTCATTAATTTCCTATAACTGTCACTAATTTACTTCTGCGATGATAGTCTGGTACATTCTTCAGCTACTTGTACATTGTAGTATTCTAAACTGAAGGTATGTTATTATTTTTTCATCTTATTCATCTTGACATGCCTAATTTCAATAAGTTGAGCATCTTTGCTAACGTTATGATTGAAAAGAACTCACTCAGTCCTACGGCAGGTGGCAATCCACTCTGAATTTTAGAAACTTATTTTTCATTTCCCAGTTCAGAGGTTCAACCAGTTCCCCACTCCTCACACCATCAGTGCAAGAGCCAGTTTGAGATCAGAGGACCCAGGTTGAGACAGAAATTGACATCTATCATAACGGCAGAAGATGGAAAGCTTTTCCTCAAATCACACCCAGCCAGGGAAATTTCTGCCTCACACGGGTGGTAATAAGTTTTCTTTAACGTTAACTATGCTATCTTTAACATTTGCTTTAAGAGCAGTGGTCGGCCACACTCACTCATTCAGCAGGGGGATGGAGGTCCTACGCTTGGTCTTCTGCACCATATTGGCCTGGTTCCTCAGGGAGATCCTGATGATGGAAGGGGCCAGTTTGCAGGGCTCCCCGTCCACCTGCATGGGGATGGACTTGTAGGTGGTCAGGGTCACCTCTCGACACTGGTTCAGTCTCTCCCCGTGACCTCCCACCTGTAAAGCTGCCTGGAAATGCCAATAGCCAACACAAAGAAAGAAAATACTAGCTGAGTGATTCATTGTTTTCTCAGACAGGATAAATAACCAATTTACAGGAGAGGCAAAAGATTCTGTCTGCAGCACCTGTGTGTCAGGCCTTTACCTTACTACTTTCTTATTTCAAACATCTACAAGGCAGAGCATCACTATCATCCACTGGGAGGTCTGCCTCGTGACCCTTCTTGGCAACAAACAAAGGAATGCTACGTTCATCAGTTGGATCCCCATCTGCTGCTTAAAAAAAGATGTCTATAGGAAAGAGGCACTAAATAATGTATTTATGAACTGAGTGTACATGTAATGAAATACTAAAATTAAACATTTAAAACAGAATAAGTTCTATAGAATCCAGCAAAATTAGACTGAAGACACACTAAACAAAGAGGCCAGACCATGACAAAAAGGTGTAGGCCGCAGTCACGTCCATACCAGGGATGTCATGGTGAAGCCGATGACCTCGATGCAGCCGTCGTCATGGCGCTGGGGTTCAAAATCGTGGTGTTCGCTGGGGTTACCCCAGGGCATCGTGCCTGCACAGTACCTGATGCAGAAAGGGGAAGAAAGCCCGAGTGAGTTTTGAAAAGCATAAGCACTGTTCCCAGTTTTTGATCGGTCACTACAGAGTGAGATTTCTCGTAAAAAAATTTAATTAAAATTTTACTTTAAAAAGGTTATTGTTAATGGTCTAGTCCCAGCTTGCGTTACTAAAAATGGATGAATAGGTGGCAACAGAAAATTAACAAGATGTGATAGTACATTTTCTAAATTATACATTATTACTAGCTTGACTATTACAGAGACTACTACAACTCATTTATAACAAAGCAATTTTGAAACTCGTTACCTGGGAATGTTAAGGAACACTATACATTGCAGCTTTAGATCCTGAATCTTTGATGTGAGATCAGTACCATCACACTAACAAAACAGAAATCAAAGAAAAGGAGAGAAGTCACTTAAACACTTGATTTAGCAAAGACGATGCATCTCAGCTTTAATTTGGTAATGGAATGTAATATTTACAAGAACTGGCTAAAGATGTCCATTTAGCTGCACAGACATTATTATATTGTAGGAAATGTATAACTAAAATACAAAATACAACTAAAAGGCCTAATAAAAGAAATAGCAATGTTTTCAAATAAGAGTAAAGCCCAATCAAGAAGTGAAAATTGGTCTGCTTTTACAGAATACATTCGACCTCCTTGTCAAAGTGGGGCTGTCGACAACTCTTCAGAAAGCAAAATTTTACAATGAGAATGTTCTCCTTTTGCTCAGGCAGACAGATCAATGTTCAAATTAAAGTGACAAAGTTAAAATGCGTCACTCACCAGTACAGAGTTCTCTTTTGTGAGGCACAGGACACAAATAAACATTGGTATTCTTAAACTACTCTCCCCATTTCTGACAGAGCAAGGGATTAACTCGAAATATTCCCCAAACGCTCCACAAGCTTCCATTCAGTCTCACAGTTATCGGCCGACACATTCAAAATAGTTAAAATTGCCCGAATTTGACCTTTTCCATGTTGCGCAAAGCAGGCTGTCATTAAGTGCTGCAGTACTCACCACAACTTTGATGTGCTTTGCTAAATCTTTGGAGCTGCCCATTAAAAAGTCTGAAAAGGCTGTCTGCAAAAAAAACCAAGCAACTGAGAAATCATGCATTTATTGATAGTGGAACACAGAAGAAATTTTTTATTCTGGGTATCATGGCTATCTCATCAGTGCTTTCATAAGACTCTGTTATACTCACCCCGGCATAAAACATCTTGTTTCTAAATCGGCTGTTAAATCTCTCGGGATTGGCCTCTGAGAAGACAAGAGACACTGTTTCAGATGGTGTCACCCAGTTTGATTTATATTTCAATAATCCTGTCACACATGCGGTATAGTACAAAAGATCTCTCTCTCTGATTCATAGAAGAGAGCCCGCATAGTGCTTCTGGGGGATTATGAACAAGATTGATCAAATAAGATCTTTTATCAGAGAACAGAATCCATTTCAGACAAGAACTGATTTTGCCAATCAAGGGCTAAACGTGACCCACAGGGAAAATTACAACGCCTTTATAAATGTTTACAAGTCAAACAATACACATTAAAATATTACCAAAAATATATTTCTGAAATAAAAACAACCCTTGAAACTATTGTTGTGTTAGAACCATGCAATGACTTAAAAATTCCAATTTTGGAAGTACATTTTTGCTGTCAGATCACAATAAATTAAGTCCCTTGTGCTTACAATACAAAATGAGCAATTCAAAAAGATTAACAGCTTCCAGGACACATTTTGAGGAAACAATTCACAACAAACCTCGAGATTCATGAAACTCCAGAGTTACATGTGCATCAAAACCAAGGCTGAAGTAGTTATTGAAGACATCAAGGGGAAGCTATTAACATAAAAATAAAATATAAAACATTGTTAGCATGGTTCCAGAGTATCTCTTGAAACAGTGGGTTTTACTAGCTAGTTTGTCTTAAAGGCTTAAAAATACAGTAAATACATGTGGTAAAACTACTACAATCCTTTATCAGCTGTGTTTTAAACAAAATGTCACAATCTCCCTTCTGAGCATGGTGGATATTTGAACATAATGCATATGCAAATAACTTCACTTTACAGGTTGGCTGTGATTATGTATTTAGCTGGTAAAAAAAAAACTCTGGACAGGGGAAAAATGAAATATTTTATTATTATTATTCATTGCAAATGCTTTGTACAAACAGCTTAACTGGCTTTCACAAGCTACCACCACCCTCAGACCGTGGTTCTCTAGCACCCAGAAAAACCTGCTTCCTCCATCTGACTGGGCAACAGTATGCCTTTCATTAGTTTGCCTGCGTCAAGTCATTCATTTTTACCACACAGTCCTCCTCACTGCGCACCTCAAATATCAAGAAGTGGCTAAAGAAATAGTCAGAATGAGGAATTTGACAGGACTCCGGCTTTTCGATCCTGGCACTGTAAGTAACCACCCCCACAAGGAGCAGAAGCAGATGACTGGTTTTAATGTGACAGGAAAACCTGAATTAATTTGTGGTCCATTCTAGACCCAGGTTAAGTTTCATTACAAAGTTTTCACCGTGATACAACATGAACGTAGCACCGCTAATAAGCATCTTCAGGCTCTGAACCCGAGTGACATTTAAGAGACTAATTAGTGCTGTGGCATCCGCTGAATTTAATGAAATGCTGTGCAGCTGCACAAAGCTCTCTTTTCCTTTCCTCACTAACCTTCCCGCCATCTCCTGCCGTTCTGATCAAAACACAGGAACCCACAATTAACTGTGGGGTTAGAGGAGTCCATTCTGCACCAACATCACTAGCCCTTTGCTTCTGTCCTCCTAACTCATCAGTCATGAGATCTCTCCTTAGCGCTGGGGATTCCAAACTCACAATGGCACACTGGTGGGGGGCAATGTTTTTAGACTGCGGCAGATCAAGTGATGGCCCAACCCTGGGCTTCGCGCCTGGGGAGAACCAGGAGAACCGAGATCACCATTACAGCAATATTACCGTAATGATGCAGCAGGCAGCAGAGGCAGACTGCTCTCCGTGACTAGGGAAAGCCCTGTAACCAGCTCATCCTTCTTGTAAGCTACAGATAAGCCTTATCACCGATCCCAGATATTTAGCAATTTCCTGCAGCTGCATTATTAAATGGCCCCAGCTAGGCGTTGATTTCAATCAGACTTCAATCTTGAGAAAGTTCTCGGTTAAGCACAGCCGGTTTGCAGCCCCATGAAGCTTCGCTTGGCTATTTAGAGCTAAACGCAAAAACGCTATCATCCCTTCCTTTCCATTACAAACATATTATAAGATCAAATAATTTACTAAGAGGCCCAAAAGGAGGAAGGTGATATTAATTTAGCTCAAAGTTACCAGCTAAAGGGGTTCACTCACCACTTTCTTTTTAAAAATTGTTCTCCATGCTACTGTATTTCCAAATTCCTCCTTTAAAATGATTTGATTGTTGGTTTAAACAGATACAAACCTATTTAAATGCATTAACGGTCAGATGAGATTGAATGCTTAATTGATTCATTTTTTTTCAGTTTGAGATTCAGCAGTGACACCAACAACAAACCATTATGGAAAAATTATGTCTATTCGACACATTTTCCCTACATGATAAACAGCTCATCACAGACTAACTATACAGTATGTTAATACTGCAGGAGCTACAGTACACGTTACACTACATTACTATGCAGGTCTACCACCTAACATTTATGAGCATCAAAGGATTTAAGTGTTACTGTATACTGGCTTCTAAGCAATTAATTAAACACAGCAGCGATAAAAATTAATTTCACACAGTATATTTGCTGATCAAATTTACCACATATTGTGACAACTACCATTGTGAAATAATCAGTTTTTCAGTGCAACCTGGCCTGAGAAATTGGATAAGATCACTGAACAAATGAAAATTTGTAGTGATTCCAAAGCACCTTACATTTGTACCCATTTATACTGGGTATTTCACTAAAACAATTCAGTGGAAGTGTTTTGCACAAGCGTACAACAATCATGTCCCAGCTGGGATTCAAACCCATGACCTTCCCATTACTACTAGGCCAGCACATTTCAAAAAGAGAATATTGGTCACTGGGTGGACTGGGCGAAGGGTGCATGTCACAGAGACCGAGAAATTGATGAGAGAAGTGTGAAGCCGGATAGGAGGGAGAAGTAGATTGGAGCTCTCAGGTGCGCCAAACTCTGGGGAGAAATTCAACTTCCAAATTGTGCTGGGGCATGCTCAGTTTGCCGAGTCAGAGGAAGCAGTCAGGTTTAGTTTCCTTTGAGCTAGCCAAAGAAATGAAGAGCCACAGAGAGCTGCAGGACTGAATCACTAAAATGATATCAGGAGAAAGGAAATGTAGGTTTGGGTATGCTATAATACTCATTTATATGTATGCAGGCGGAAGTGGGTGAGGTTAGGGTTTGACTGTCAGCATCAAACATTTTAAAGTAGAATGCTATATGGGAATGGCAAGAGGTGGTCATTACTTTGCCAATGTTTGAGTCTTGATATAGGCAAAGGCAAGCTGTTTCCTGGGATGACCAGATCTAAGGGAAGCCGGCTTACCTTATCTGTTGCTCCTTCATCTTTGTCTTCTGGATTTGCTTGTACATTTGGTTCCACAATCAAGTTCCAGCGATCAAGCTGGACAATATTTCCATCTTCCACATGAGAGAGGATCTTGGAAACGGGCTCATCCGTGTACCCCTGTGAGCACAGAACACCAGCAGGCGCATTTCCATGACAGCAGGTCAGGAGCTCTACTCATACTGGTTAGACAGGCTGATTAGCGAGTATTTTGAGCAGTAAAACATGTTTTAATCACAGAGTTAGTGTTAATTTAAAACAGTTCATGAACTTTTTACAAGGGGCACTATGATGCCTAAATGTGAGACAAGAAAAAGCAAGGTGAGAGCTGTAGTTCATAAATTTAGTGTCCAACCTATGCATCCGACAAAACTCACTAACTTAAACTGGTTTCTGTGGTGTGACCCAAAGCACAACGCAAAATCTGACAATGTGTAGGCGAGATGGATCCCAAAACTCATCAGAGCTGTGCCACCAACGAGTCCAGAAACATTAAAGAAAGTAAACAAAGAGTGGCGGATGGACTCACCCCACCCCAGTTCAGAGTCCTGGCCAGGTCATTCCCAGTGCCCAGAGGAAGAACAGCTACCGCTGGCTGCGGGCTCAGCTGCAACTGGTCTAAGATGGACAGGATCCAGCCAACCTGCAAGTTACCCACACTCTATTAAACAGGTGAGAAGGCCTTACTTTGTTTTCGCTTTGTTCCAAGTTCTGTAAAATCTGGATTGAACAAATACAAATACTTGAAATAAACTCAAGGATTAATATTTCCACAAAAAAATAATTTAAAATAGTGTTCCTATTCAGCCAAGGTGATTTATGCAGCCCCGCCGTATTCCATCAATTTTTTTTCTCTTGAGATAAATCCATTTTAAACATGACTACAGTATTTAGTATTCATGGGTGTATTTTTTGCATTGTTTCTGATATTTGCTAATATTTCTGCTCAAACGTGCTCTGCCTGTTCATGAATTAAAAGAAACTTTACATTAACGTGTCGGGAAATATGCCATACAGAAGAAGCCACTGTTTGTAGACAATATTTTCATTCTGTGCTTGAACAGATCTTTTAATGGCATCGGCATGGATGAAGTCAGTACTCAGTGTCAGTACTTGGACACTGGATGGATGAATTACTTTAGAGCAAACGGTAGTTACTTCCTATCCCTGTGAGCAATTCTGAAATCTACTTGGCACATAAATTATAACACATTGTAGGTTCATGCAGGGTTTCACTATCCTAGGAAAAAATACTTGAACGATTTGTTCATCATACATCAGACCTCAACCTTCATACCCAACATCCACTTGAGTGTTTCATACTGATAATTTATTAACAATGCATCATCTCCTTGTCCCAGAAAAGGCAAGCTTTATTAATTCAAATGACAAAATTGGCTTTTTTCTTAACCGCTCACAATCTACTTCTCCCTCCCTAGTGAATTAGCAGTGGCGTATTTGAGCAAGGATGTCAAAGCGTTTATTTTCACTGTCATATTAACCCAACCTGGATTTGTCTCTATGGCCCAAACGCATAAAATCACCAAAGGAAAACCACGACTTAATCAAATTTGCCATGCAATCCACAGAAGCACTGATGTGGAAAAGACGCAGCTTGGAATATGCTAACTATCCTTAGCACAACGATCACGTTAAAGCAGAATGCCAGGGTGATTAGGCCAGGATAAAAATAAACCCAACCTTGTCAGTAGAGATTTTTACAAAGATAAATATTCAAAGTTTTAATATTTTAGTTAAAAACCCGTGTGGTCTGAACTCATCTTATTTTCAGAGCTTTTAATTGTCTCATATTTGAGCAGTTGGAAATATTACTAGCTTTCTCCAAGGTAATTTGTGTTCTGCAAGATTATTTTATTTTTGCTAGGGAAGTGATACAGTAAATACACAATGACAGCACTGTAAGTCACAGAACCCCAAAACGTGTGGATTGGGACAGTGGTGGTGTTTTGGGGGAGAGGTTTGTGGGGATCTGTCACAAAGGACTGCCAAGTGTGTAAAAGTTTGAACAGCACACATTATATACACGGTGATTATAAACAGTACCTGCAAACCACTAACAAGCATCACATCAGGAAGAGCACATATCTCTTGATTAGTTTGCAAAATAATCTTGCCAGGTGCAGCACTGCCAGAGGTTAGTATGCACGCTCTGCACTGACATATCTGTCTGATTGGGAGCTTTCAAGACAGCTTGGTGAGGCTGATGAACGCACTGAAGAGCTTTGAGAAACTAAAGAAGTCAACAGGTTACTCTTCTGAATATTCAGTAATTCAGAAAACAAAGGGGGGGGGAATGTAAATCGCAGATCAGTGCCTTAATCTATCAAGAGAATGTCAAGAGCAATAAGTAGCATCTACAATAAAAACAGCTTTCAAAATGAAAATACTGAAGAATGTTTAAATTCAATCTGGAATTGCCAAAGCAATTTGGTAAAACACTGAAATGTTTCAATCTAAGCATTGCTGTGCTATAAATAATCAGTTCCATACAGATGTGTGGCAGAGACTTTAGTATTTGCCCCACACTCTTCCAAACAAAATACCTTTGAAGAAAAGTCTTGATAAGATTCATGAAGCAATTGTACTAGAGATCAAGTAAGATGGACTGAATTGTTATTACGATTCCCAATCCTGTCTGGTTGCTAGATGCCCAGAGTTTAGATTCCGGCTCAGGCCAAATGACCACTGGCTGAATCAGACATATTTAACATTTTTCCTTAGTTCTTCAGACACTGCTGCTGAAACAGTAAACCTGTAGAGACACTGATGCTCCAAGGCTAGGACTGTACAGCCCTGTTCTATGAAACACAAGCTGTGACCATGTGGCAGTTACTAGATTTAACTACTGATCTCCCTTTTTTTTTACGTTTTACTGTGCTTTCCTCTTTTTGCAAAAACAAAAAGATGCCTTTCCACTTCCTGGAGCACTGTACAGCTGAAAAGGCAAGCGTGCAGATAATTTTGCAGGTAACAAAATACTCACAGTGCCATCACCACCACAGGCCAGAATTCGCAAATTGTGGACTTTGCGGTACATTTCTAACCTTGAAAAAGGGAAAGAAATATTAAAGACAGTTTGCGCTAAAGCTGTTTGACTTCTATGGCAGGGCAACAGAATCACTCCCTGCAGATTCTTAAATAGGTCTATACTTTACCAGGTTTGCCATAAATCCATAGTAACAGCAATGCTAGAAGGCAAAGCTCGCTCATGAACAGCATTATAAAGGTCTAATGAAAATTGGCGAGGACTCTGTGTCTATAATGAAAGGTAGGTAATTGAACACTGATGTTTCTTTATAATCTTTCCTAAGGTTGACTTAGATGCAAGACCTCATTAACAGAATATACCTGACAAAATTATTACGGGCCATTAAGTTTAATTATCTTTCGGAATAACGGAACAGAGTTAATGAAGTCCACAGGAGAGAGAATCATCATAGTGCAGATGAAACTTTGAAAACTGTCACCTCTTATGTGGCCAGTGCTGTTTGATGCAGTAGGAGTCGCTTCAAAATCTAGAGGGATTTTTGTGCAGATTAATAATATGCATATGGGTTTGCCATCCCAGTTGAATCTGCATGTGAGCCAAGGCTCCAAAGTGTCAATACTGGTTGCCTCTGCACTTGGGAATACATTTCCATAGATTAAGCAAGTGATAATGTCCCCACCGTAAAAACCTCAGAGATTAGTCCACGTACAGTATGTACTGTAGACCCAAGTAGTCAACAACCCTGAGAAATACTGCTGTGCTTTGCTTCCATCTGACATTGAGCTTTGATTTCATCTTAGGCCACTTGAACATTTTGCCTCCCCACCATCACATCAGACAGGGTGCAGATTCCTCTGATATAGTTACAATGAGAAAGTCAAAAGGATGCTAGTCTTTGACATTCCCCCCAAACAAAATTTCAGTAATAACCAAAGATAATGGCGTTTAAAATCAAGTAAAATCAATCTACAAATAGTACATTTGCATTTTAAGACTTAAATCACTCCGGGGTCCACAAAAAAGCTCTACCCAACACCTGGTAATCACGCCAACTGTATCACTAAAAAAAGGGACTTGGACCAAGTGCACCTGACCAGCAAGGTTCTGGATATTATGTACTATAAATGTGTTGAGGAGCATCGGCCCTAAAGAGGGATGAAATATTGTGCCTTCCTTCTCAGTACCTACCCTTCTTTAGGTCCTCCCTGGCTGAGGTCAAACACTTGGCGTGGGTTGAGGTACCACATGAAGGACTGGATTATCTTAGCTCCCTGGATGAAAAATAAACAATACACATCCTATTGAAGTGTCTCCAGTTTTTTTCAAGTTCCTGTTTAATTTGTTTCAATGTAGCTTAAACTGCAAGTTAAAGCAGAGCTCCAGTGCATTTATCTGCATGTTGTTTTCCTTGATGAAGACGCTTATGAATGTTTAAATTAAATCTGGAGATGCTGAAACAATATGGCAAGGTACTTAAGTTTTATCTCAACTGCAGCAGTCAAATTCATCACAAGACCAAAACAAAATGAATATGGTTGTTTGTCAGTTAAATCTGTTGAATCTGACAACAATGAACATGCAGTAAAGAAAAACAGCACAAGTAAACATCAGAGAATTTCACAAAGGTTTCTCTGAGGCTTTGATATCTAATGAAAGCTAACATTTTTAAACAAAAACATCTTTGAAAGCAGCTTCACAGTCATTTAAAAGGCAATCTGTGAATTATATACAAAATTTAGCACCACTCCATTTCTAGAAATTTGTATACACACTTGCATAATATTGTACACCTACTATACTGTAAAGGAGAAGCCAATTTCACAATGTGGTAATAAAAAAAGAACAGTAAGAGACTGCAAACCTCTGCAGAGGTCTTATAAAAATCAACCACTGCTGATTTCTGCCCACCTGATTTCCGCCACTTTTAGGATTCACAAACACCAGAAGAGGCTTCATCAACTGTGAAGGAATCGGCTTCACTATGAATGGCTTCCACCGGGTCTCCTGTGTATCACAGAGCCAACGTTAGAAACCTTACTGATGAGCCACAGGTACCTTCATTGACAGGACATGAATACCAGTGACCCATTCCTCCTGCTAAATAAACTAAAGGTGTATTAAAGCATTGACACTAATTCTAACCTCCACCTTATAATGCAGGTACATTATGTTGATTAGATTTGTTGTTTTACAGATTAAGCGCCTAGTTATAACTCTTTAAACACAATACTTAGGAAACAGTTACTGGAAACTGGCATTTTTTTTTGTTAAGATTGGAGAGCAGAAGAGTATTGGAGAGAAATAGCAGGGTGTTTAATGGCACCACCGGAAAACTATGACATTGGCCACTTCTGGGCTGATGACGACAGAGCTAGATTCACTGACAAATCCATTTACACCCCAAGGCCTTAAAATAATCCGAAAGGTGAGCAACCTGGTTACCCTCAAAAGGTTGAACCTAAAATGTTTTCATCAGCAATTTACAATATAACGTATGATCATTTTATGGTGTTAATCTTTAATGGTGTTTTGTTTTATTTATCAGATCAAAGAGTAGTGAGATCACAAATATCACCAAATGTCACCTTTCCCAGCTTTATGTTCCATTACAGGTATAGAGCAAGGCATTGTATTGAAAACTGCACCATAGATATAACCAAAGAATGTTTTTTTTCACCCTTGGTCTTAAATGGCCTTTCCAAAAATTCAAAAGGACAACATATTTTTATATTACATTATACAGTATATTTAATAGCATTGACGATCAGTGATGTGCAGTACTAAAGTAATTCTGATTGCAATATACAGTAGTAATGTGTATTAGTGAGTCGGAACATTCCATTCCACTAATTTACTATATTGCAATCCAAATTAGGTAGTGATATCAGTCTGCTATATACTGTAGAATATTAGGTTCCTAACTCAGTGTATTGTAATTCAATAGAGATGTGTACTTACAGTATGAATTACTGTAGATCAGTAACAATATTGATTTACAATACATTACTTTTAGTCCGTAGTACTGAATGTATTGTGTATATAGAGGTCTATAATAAACTGTACAGCAACAACATAATCAGTTTAAATTGTACTTTATGTTATGTAAAATTATGTTATATTTTAAAGCTCATAAGTAACATTATAGTTGTGTTTTTTGTAATGGTACTAGTACAGTACATAAATTACTATATTATTGGAGTCATCAATAATCTTGGTCTATAATGCTTTTGTTAAGCTGTTATTCAGAAGGGTGCCATCACATCAGTTCATCAAAGATGTTGGCCTACAGGCTACTGCTCTGTAATTCTCATTTAGTGATGGCAATCTGTAACAATTTTGCAGTGAAACTCAATGATAGTGTATTGTAGCTGTCATTAAGAAGTGACAGTTTGAGATATGAAAAAAGGTTCTTGGTTTTTGCTGCCCTAGAAATGTTCCAAACAACCATTTGCCTTACGAGAAGGCTAAAAGGATGTGTGTTCATGTTTTTTTACTTTGTATCTTAAAGGATAGTACTGCACCTTTTCTCCTCAGTGGTATTGAAAATATTCATTAGCATAACGGCTATAAATGACTGGAGGCCATTTGGCTCAAAGTTAGCTTCTAGCTGATCCAAGAATCTCATCCAGCCATTTCTTGAAAGAAGTAAGGATACCATCTTCAAAAACATGGGTAGCTAGCTTGGGCTATATTCCAAGAATTGTTTGAGCAAAAAAGTATTTTGTGTTTCCACTTCCAGCCTGTGTATTTTCAATTTTTATGCCGCAGAAATAAATGAGTCAGTGATCTTGAGGATTCTGAATTCTCAATAGATAGTATTTCACCTTGAGGATAGTATACATCCAATTTGTAAGCATTAAAATTGATTTCTGATCAGCAAACGTGGATGACGTCTCTGCCAGGAAGACAATCTCACCTCTGCTCCCTTCTTGCTGGACTTGCGTTTGAAGGATGTGCGCTTCTTCTTCTTACTTGACTTTAGTGACGTCTACAAAAGAAGAAAAAAAAACTTTGGCAGATTTTTCTTTTTAAATAATTCTTTGTGCCACTATTATGAAGGAACTATTGAATATAAAAAGAAACATTTGAGAAGGCAGCCACCAATGTTCAGTTGTATCAAATAGCTATTCAAACGCAGGAGACCAGTGATATCCTACAAAAAAAAATCAATTTTTCTTTCAAAGAAAATGCTTTTAATACATTGAGCAGTGCTTATGGTTACTTCTCACCCATTTGAAATCGACACTTTCATAGAGCTGGGTAAAATAATAGTAAAATATTTCTGCTTAATCCCAAAGTGATCTGTCGTATTAGTGTTGATTGATGAGGAGCTCCTGCAATTCAACTGCTGTTACTGACCTCCAGTGGTCGAAATCAAGGATATAATGAAGCAGAATTTAAGATTTTTCTGAAGTGTTAGCAACAAACGTTAATCCATGCTCTATGCATGGATGCATTTCGGCACTGTTCTTTCTTTTGATCGATTCATAACACAAAGAAATGAGGTATAAACAGGGAAGAAGGTGGGGGGGTGGGGAGGCTGGAGGAATGTTTGGGATGAGTGGGAAAAGCTTGCTGCCCGTACCTGGGGTCGCCGGACACGGATGATCCAGGTTGGGGGGACGATGACGGCAGCGTGAGCCCCGAGAGAGCAGGCCTCCTCAATCTGCTGCAGCATGAAACACGTCACCTTGTTGTGATACTGGAAAGAGGGGAGACGAGAGCATCAGCAACACGGAGCCTGTAGCCACACCCCAAACAGCCAGCCAACTGGTCACCCACTGCCAAAAGTCCAGATACACATCCAAAGAGCAGGGGTTACTGCAACCTAGCCCTGCTGTCCACTGAAGGGAACTGCCACTGCTGGGGCTGTCTTGATCAGTTCCCAGGACCTACAGTAGGTGTGAAATCTGCTATTTTTACCCAAGATGCTGCTGTGATACCTACACATATTTACTCCATTCCTAACTCCATCACTAAGGTCTAAGTAGTTCTCCACTGCCTCTGCACAAATATACAGTGAAAGGCTTATCATTCTGAAGTAGTTCAAGTAGGTAGCTGCGTCAGCATGCATAGGCTGCAAAGGAACAAGTTAAAGGTTTATTCCACGCTGAAAAGAGAAGAAAGGAAACAACGTTTTGGCTGTGGTCGCACCCGAAGAAGGCTCCACAGCTGAAATGTTGCGTTTCTTTTCTTTTCAATTTCAGTATGGAATAAACCTTTAACTTGCTCCTTAACATTCTGAAGACTTACTGCTTGTTTGCACCAGGAACAGCTGATGGCAACAATTTCTTTACTATGAAAGGCAAACTTCTGCTGGAAACCCTGGGAGAAAAAGTGAAAACGGCCATTACAGAAACAACGAAATAAAACCAACTCGAAGGGCAAAGAAGCAAAATCAGAAGCAATACTAATGATTATGTAAACGTGTTGATGGCCAATAAATGCAGAATAGATGGAATGGTGAACCGTTACGTAATTACATACTGTAAACAAAAATCAGAATTTCCTTTCACTTCCATTCAAAACAGCACCCTCCAAATTAGAAATAATTGAAAAAAAAACTGGGAAAAACGTGAACCAGATATTGCAAATTTCAGAATCTGCAGCTTTAAATGTTGAAATGTTGAGCACTTTAAGTATGTGCTACCCATTAAGAAAGCTGCTTAAAAAATAAACTACAGTAGTTGATGTAGTTAGCTCGCCCAGTCATTTCTGTTTTGTTTTTTGAGAACACACATATTTACTCCATCTCTAACTACATCACTAAGGTCTGAGTAAACAAAACAGCTTCAACAGCATGGCTGGCTTGGTCCCTGCTCCCATCATCCCTTGCTTCTTCCCAACTCCTGCTCCTCTTCTCACCTTTCCACACTGCCGGCACTTCCCTTCCTGTCTCCTCCGGTGAACCCAGTGGTGCCGAACAATCGTGGGCTACAAAGATGTAAGGAAAATTGGTGAATGACAAAATTGAAAAATGAATGAAAAATGTATAGATGGATTGGTTGTTTTGGCCCTTTGGACTCCAAATCTGCCTTTTTTGTTTCTACTGATCCAGCATCTTGCAAGAGAACCAGCGTCTGTCCTTTGGCAGAAACATTAAGAGGCAACGCTCCTTGGCAAGATTTATCCTCACATTGAAAGCGTGGCGATGCTTATAAAATTCTTGAATGGGTGCAAGTCTGCAAAAACACTAAAAAAATTGCGCCATGTAAAATATTTGACTTAGAGAAAGACCAAAACCCTCCACACACTAAATATTCATGTCAAGTTAAAACCACTGCTGTGGCTAATGATGCTACACTTCTGAAATGACAGAGTGTTTAGCACTCCAGTTCTTTTTCTTTTTTGCTCCTGGCTATTCAAAACACGTGCATGCTCTGCCAGCACACCTGGAGAGGTAGGATGAAATACCTTATTCTGTGTCATACAAGCGGTCGCCATGCGGTTAGCCATCAATATGAGGCCCAGAAGGGGCCTGGGCTTTTTATGAAATCTTCGGCCATGTGTTGGCTAACAAGAGTGAGGCATGATGGGAAAAGGGAAGTTGCAGGATATGTAGGACAGATGGAAAGAAAAGAAAAAGATGAGACAAATGCATGGAATAACACAAGTATACAGATAAACGGATGGAAAAAATAAAGGCAGCATGGCTTTTTAGGTAGCAAGGAAAAGGAAAAGTAAAAGGTTTTTTCTGAAATGCAATCAAGAGAGAAAGACTAGGGTGTCAGCTGTTTGTGGAATGTGACACTTCATGTCAGATGTAAGTTTCACATAACCTAATGTTGCACAGTAAAGAGAATATCACTATATATGTACTGTACATCACTATTAAAAGCATTACAGGTTGTCTTGGCTAAACCGTGTATGGTTTTCAAGCAGTTCAAATAAACAGCATATATCCTGTAACCCAGCTGGGTGCCGAGCTCATGCTTCAGAAATATACCAGAAAAGCATTTAATCCTTCACCCAACTGAAAACTCAAATGCTGTGCATGATTTTAAAAAGTGATCTAAATCTAAGCTTCAGAAACTAACGTTTATTTTTTAGCTCTACAAACTAATATTGCCTGTTTTTAGTGAGTAAAAAAATGTCCCATTCCCCCCCCCACCCATACCTAGTCATTTACTTTTCAGCCAAATAAAAGCAACAGAAATAAAAAAGGTGTAATTACCTCTCGCACATTCCTTGATCCAGATTCCCTAAACGATGGTTTACACCTAAAATTTATCTACAGACACAAAGAAAGGATGAGTTTAACATCAAGAGGTTTTCCATTAATAGAAAATTAATAAAAACCCATCACATGGAGCTGCACCACATAATTGAAAAGTGTTAATTAATTTGACCCCAGGCAAACTTCAATCACAGGGCTGTATTTAGCAAAAAGATGGATCCCAAAAGTCTCACAGTGACATTTGTGTACCCTGCAGTCACCAATGATCATCTCGAGAAAGGGTGGAACATTTTCAGTGTTTAAGCCAATCCAACCAGTTACCCTCAGTCAACTCTGTTTCAACCACCAAGCCCAGAGAGAGAAGCAGGCAACCTCCTGCCGCCTAGCAGGTGATAAACTAGAGTCCACGAGTCCTCCCTGTGTGGCTCCCATCAAGGCACTTTAAATATCTAGAACAAAATCAAGATTAATCACGATCTCATCGCCGTCCCTGTAGGACTGTGCTTTTAAAACAGCTAAAAAAAGATAAACAATTTTGCTCTCTTGCATAAAATACCCAGCAAGTGAGGAAACATAAAATACTCTCTGCCAGCTGTCCCATTAGTGCAGGAGTTTCCAGCTCTGCTCCTGGGGAGCACCAATACAGTTCCTCTCGCATGTTGCCCTGACTCTCCTGTTAGGAACACTCCTTTAAGAAATTCTGGTTTCTTTACCAGAATTCCGGATTCCAGTTGGAAACTCTGGTTCTTGAAGGTTGAGAGATATTCTGATTTGTGTTCCAAATGATCCCTGAATTATGTACAGTAATTGCACACCTCCTGTTTAACTGATCATAGTTACAGTAAATTGCTCAAGACCTTTAGAAATTGCCGACTTAAGTGCTACCTATAAAACGTGCTTGATTAGAGCTACCCAGGACCAGGGATTTAGAGTCTCTTCAAGCTTGCAGCCCAGGCCAAGATCCATCACCACCCTGGATTCCTACACATGCTTTCAGAAAAGAAATATGTCGGGTCGCAAGCACGGTCATTTGTTTCTCACCACCAAAGGCGTTTTATTTCACCATTTAACTTCACTGTATGCTTCTGCCAAAAAGGATGGTCATAACAGAGAAAATGTGTTCACCTCTCAGTTTCCATGTTCATGAAGTCTGAGGAACATCCAAAAATAGGTGTTACTGACTATGTCCTCAGAGGTAGCAAGCCAAAGGCTTTTCTATTCAATAACCGGGGGAAAAAAACACACTAATAAAGTTAATATTAACCGAGTTGATTGTTCTCCATGGGCCTTATAGACGAGACAGTGAAGACTCGCTAGTGGGTGGCCTGTGAAAACAAAGACTACATTCTTGCTCCAGGGAATTTCTTATCAAACTTGCATGAAACTTGAAAAGAAAAGAAATGACCTTACATTATTGATCATAATTAAAAAAAGGGGTTGATTTTCTTTTGGAATCCAAAAACAGAAAATCAGACAGATCACTTGATCACTCCGATTCACCCACAGATGGTACACCATTCGTTTGTCATGTTAAAGGAGCGAAGAGCGATCCTCTGCCCAGTAGAGAAAGGAAGGCCAATAGCAACCAGAAACCCATGCCCAAAGGCTACCTGCATCCCAAAACACCATCCTTTCACAGCTAGGAGGCAGATGAGCTGATTTTATTTTCAATGGCTTGTTAAATTCCAAGCCAATCAGGACAAAGAGAGCTGTGGATCAAAACACTGGCATGACTGCCTCCCCCAATTCATGCCCACCCAGTCCAAGGGAACGTGAAACAATTCTCACTCTAAAACAAGAGCCTTTGGCAGTGTCCTGGTCAGGGAGACTGCCTATTGGTGACATATCATCTTGGGAGGAGAGCTGAAGGAGGAGTAAAAACACGTGAATGTTTTGCCAAAGATGGCATTATACAATACATATGCGCTGCTGACTTTGTCCTCAACAGGCAAGCAAACACCATTACTTACTTTTTCGAGCTGTTCAATGCAGGGAGTGTGGACCACTATCTTGCAGGCAGCACATTTTTTCCGAGGTACAGATTTCTGCTATGTTGTAGGAATGAGAAAAAAAGGTTCAGTTTCTAAGCCTGAGCTTTAAGGATCAGCAAAGATGGATGATTATTCTTAAACTCGTTGATAAGATGAATTTGTCCACGAATCCACCAAGAACTTTGTACTATCTCGGTCACAGCAAAAAAAAAGGCATGCACTCTTGAATTTGATCTCAAAATTCTGAAAGGATACAATTTGGCAAATGCATTTGATTAAGGTGCATTTGACACACCAACCTCAGCAAGAAATGAAGACAGCTCCTTAAGCATTTTTCTATGCTTCCGTTTCTTCACAAAACCTCAAAACTACAGCACTTAAATCAGTGTTCTTTCGCTTTTGTTAGAGAAAAAGAAAGCCCTGACTGTACGCCAAACCCAGTGACTCAGCAAATAAGATAAAAATGAACAGCTGTCTAACTTTGAGCAAGGGTGCCAGATTCTGAACCATGAGGGCCACTCCAGCAGATCTTCATGGTATCTTTAAATCAATTTAACATGTAACTGACCATTTGTATTTCTTAATTATTGCTATGTAGCCCTTAATTGGAGCAATTTAACTGACTAACTTTTAGTCAGGTCTAAAAAAGCCCTAAAAGGGATCTAGAAAATGACCTGGGTTGAGCTGTTTAGAGAACTTCAGACTAAAGAGTATTTCACTACTGTGTGGCATTCAGAAGAGAAAACAAGACCTAATAAACTTATCTATATTTAGTTAAGCATCTAGATGGCAGTGTCTTAATTCTTTTTTCTTTCAAAAATACATTCTGTAGTATGCTGCATTAGCCACTAGAGGAGTCTCTAACTCTAGAAAAGATTCACAGTTTTGCAGCTGAAGTATAATCTAATACCTTTCTCCTGAAAAGCACTGAATGCCAGCTCACTTTACAACAGATTTCCCCATTGTTGTTTCTTCAGCTGCCCGTCTTGACAAACTCAGTGGGAAATACTGTTTACTGAGTACAAATTCTCATTTTCCAGGTGGCATCAATGTTCTTCAGTGCTCTAAAACATTTAAACTTGTGATAACACCATTAGAGTAGCTCAGTTTGAAGCCTCCTTACATCCGTTCCATTTTCTCATATCAATAGGCATGGCACTATTAAAGCAGCAATCATGTTTCACAATCTTTTGTCAATATGGTAAACACTGCACAGTAACTTGTGCATTATCTACAGAGATAAAGTACCTGTAGCTGGGAAGCATAATGTGGCATTTATTTGCAGCTGTTGTAAGTTTATACTAACTCTTTAACACAGAGACACACCAGTGTGCAAATCATACGCATTGCATAATAGCATGTTGCAAAAACAAAACCAAGATTCATTAAAAAAATGGCACATTTTGCAAAAAGCAAGCAGTTGTATGCATGCTCATTCCTGGGCTGCAAAGCGACACACTCCCATCTTGTGACATTTCATTTGTGGCCTTTAAGATTGGTCATTGCAAACCGAAAAGTGTTCTTCGGCTGACATTTGGCTTTCAAGCCAAGCAAATCTTGAGTATTAAACGGAAGCGTTCAAAAGGTGTCCAGTGGTTTTGCGTGCTTCGCTGTATACAGTATGATGCACATCCTTACACTGGAGTGTCAAGTGTTGTTGCAATAAGAATTATACATCCTGGAGTGGAGGACTGAGAATAGCACAGACATGGAGTTTTCATTCACAGGAACAGAACTCCGTCCCTTGGTGCCTCTCTCACAGTTCCTTGGTATTATTCCATAACAGCTAGAAGAAGATACACTGGATAATTCTAAACAGCCTCTTATGAATAGAAGAGGGGAAGGATGTAGATCACTCACCAGTGCTTTAGCAATGCAGTGCTGCTCTCCAACATAACAGAAGTCTCCTGAGACATTAGTCTCAAACCAGATGTGCTCCCCATACAGGGCATTCTCCTGCATAAAAAAGACAGATGAAGGAAAGCACAAAAACAAGAAAAACCTCAAAAGCCTAATCTCATTTTTCATTGGAGACCGCCTCCAACCACTCCTGCAGAGAAGCTTTTAAACTATTTATAGGTTTAAGACATTGAATAATATAAATATTAAAGACTGTGTGTGCTGTAAGTTTTGGAAAAGCACCATCCACAATACAGTCTTGTTACTCATCCCCATAGATACCAGTAAGTCTAAAAACATTAATATAGCAGAACAATGACTAATTATTCTGCTACAGCAATAATGGTACTAATTTCAGTTACATCCGTGAATTCAAGGACAAAAAGGAGTGGCACAGAAAAGCTTCCTGCCATGAAAGGAAATTTCTTTTCATTAAAATATTTTCCAGGCTCCTTTACAGTTCATATTAATCTTTCTTAAGAAAGATAAAGAAGTGGAGTCCTCACTGAGAGTTATTCTTAACCCTTGTAGACCAGGGTCAGACAGCTCTTGTTCCTGGAGATTGACAGTCCAGCAGTTTTTATCGATCACCCTCAAATAAATCAATTTCTGAGGACAAAAAAATAGTAGTTTTCCATCTGCACAAGTGGGAGAAGAGATTAATCTGGTTGCCCAGATAGAGGGGGTGTTGTAGATCTGCAGCCAAGTCCCAGAACTGTCACACCTTTCCTATCATGCTTCTTATCAAAGCTATCTTATTTAACTTCAAAAGGGTGTAATTATCAGAGGATTAAAAGCAAATAGCTGCTGAATAAACAGTTTTCAAAGAACTGAATCATTAAATGCATGCTAGAAAAGGCCCTTTTTCATTACTGTTGCAAATTATCATCAGAACAGATGGGTGACAGAAGTGAATCACTGCTCTTGAGAGAAAATGCATTCAATATTTTTGGGCCTTCTGCACTGTACACAGAAGTCCGTATGTTGTGACGAATGCACAGGGAAATAGGAAGACTCTTCATATCGTGGCAACAGCAAAAATAAAATTGTTACTTCCTGCTGTGATCAGATGAAAATGACAGATAAGTGTTCAAGTTGATATTAACTGAAATGCTGTTAAAAAAATATTGCAGTCAAAAAAACACTATTACAACTTGAGAAGCAGGTTCATTTGGAACAGACAATGAGAAGCTTTTCTTCAGAGCAGTCTTTTCGAAGGGCTGTTGATGCACCCATTTGCCTACAGAGATTAGCCTGAACCAAGGCATGGCACCAAGGAGAGTTGTGGAACGACCAGCATTTACTGTAAGTTAGTCATACTGTAGGTTTAAGACATGAATATTCAAATTCTTCACAGACTAAGTGTGCTATATGTTTTGGAAAAGCACTATTCACAACAATCTTGTTAAACATACCCATAGATACCAGTGGGAATAGACATATTATTAACATTAAATATTACTATTGATTCTGCTATAGCAACAATGGCACTAATTTCACTTATAGCAGTCTTTTCTGCGCCACTTTGCCTATGACTCAGCACAGCCTTCAAAACATTTCTAAATTGAAACACATGTGCGGGGAACACAGACCAAACCCCTCTGAGCACCAACAGCTCTTATTCACAAATCACGTCTTGAAAGCAACTGTTCCCTGTACTCATCCACACAGTTTCGTCTGACTCAAGGAAACACTGCCAAAGTACTCTTCCACTTCAGGTGTTTGTCAGACTAAAACATGCAAAGCGTTCATAGAAGTATGGGTATCCAATAGCCTTTTGCATACCGTATATCAAATCCTCTTGACATTTCAAGGGTACGGTTTGTTTTTTAAAACTAGGCAACACACAAAGCCAGCCTTGATACTGAGGAAGGACCGAAGATCGATTTATTGATCAATAACTAAGGTCCAAATGGACCAAATTTAAGACATTGGTCAAATTAGCTATCAGCTTGTCCACCAGCATTAGGAATGATCAATTGTTGCCCAGGAAGGAGTCTGTCCACACTCCAAATGATGTGTGTCTTTAGTTGAGTAAATGAATAGGCTCGACAGTTGAAAACACATCATCTCATGTCCTCGGAAATCCATTTATTGGCTCAATAGAAGTAGCAGGGACGGCCGACCCTGGTCTATGAGGTTGAAGAACGGCTCCTGATGAGAGTGCGACTCCGGCGCCGGCGGCGTTCGAGAACTCACATTCCAGTCCACCGTGCTGCGGATCTCCCTGTCCGGGTCGCCCTTCACTGCGGCCGAGGCCCCCGGCTGAGCCACGAGATGCTGGAGTCCCGATTTCGCGATCGCTTTCCTGAAACGACACATGTCACAGAAGTGTCTCCCTTGGTAAGAGCTTTATCCAGGGGCTTGCAAAGCAATAACTCGAAGCTGCTCAAAGCTCAGCAAAGCCACCACATTGCATTTTTATGAAAGTTTAATAATAATAATAATAATGTTTCTTTATTAGCCCTATAGAATTTCTTGCATTAGGAATTTGTCTTTTCACAGACCCCAGCTTTTCTCCATGGAGACACAGACACACAGACAGGGAGAGAAGCTGGGGGTCAGAGTGCAGGGTCTGCCATTGTACGGCGCCCCTGGAGCAGTTGGGGTTAAGGGCCTTGCTCAGGGGCCCAATGGAGTAGGATTCCTCTGCCAGCCGCGGGATTTGAACCGGGAACCTTCCAGTCACAGGCGCAGATCCTGAGCCACAGAGCCACTGCTCCGCCCCATTATTATATATTAATATTAATATTAATAATGGGGTAGTAATAACCATTTTATTATTTAACTTAACTTATTTTGGGATGGAGAGAACAAAGGAAGAAAGTGCATAAATACTTTCAGTAGAAATGCAGAATTTAACTGACAGCAACGTATAGTAACTTACTTTTTTTTGCTTGAATTTCGCATAAGTAACACTGTAGTCTGACATTCCAGATTTTTTTTTTAAATCTCTGGAATTGCCCTCCCCCTCCTCCCATTTCCACCCCAGCCTCTACTCCTCTCATATACGGTATCTTTATCATTAGTTACAAGCAACTAAGCTATCTCTATTTTCACCCTTTGTGACCTTTTAATCGACAGTTCTGTGAGCTGCTGGTTCAATAATCAATGGGATGGGTGACTCACTTTGTAAACAGGAAAGGCAGATGCAGACAACAGTGTTTGTAGAATGTCTGCTAATGACACCCCATTAACACACAGCATTGTATTCACAGGAACTACAGCCTCCAAGTAAGGAAGAATTTGAAAACTGATTATTGCAGATTGCATATCAAAGTCTATCAGACCCTCCTTCCTCTCTTCTCTGTGGAATGGCCAAGAAATAAATCTAAATTATTCAGAAATTCTGATTCTGGTGCCTAAGTCTTTATTCATAATTGAGAGGTTGGAAAAGCACATGGCGAAAGAGAACAAATACAGAAACTACTCTGATGTAAAGATAAGGTGAGAGTCAATCGTAGCACTCCAAAACTAAACGCTCTTGAAACCTCAGGACTCAACATGGGGTGTCACTATTTCCACTCGCCTACAGGGATATTCTGTTGATCACAAGGCGACTGGTAACATGGATTATTCACGCAGAACACTCAAGTTTAAAACCGTTACAAGAATTCAACCGCTTTGCAGCGATACCTTTCTCACAGCCCACACCGTACTGCACTGTGACAGCACAAGTTGAAACCTTTTTGCCTACAGTTCCCACAAAATATCTGCAATGCCCGTAAAGTGATGACATATAAAACTACACTGCATAGTGATGGATCCCGCTATAAAGGAAATAACACTAAGTGCTTGCTTGGATTTGCATTATGCCTGTCATAAGAGTGCAGCTTTGCACGAGAGCACCTAAAATCCGCATTTTCTATTTAAGAACACAAGAACATAGTCAACCATTCACTTTCAACTGAATTTGATTACTGGTCGATTTATTTATTTCCCTCCTACCAATTGAAGCACTTTAACACACATTTGGGGGTCAGACTCGTATATCATTAGTTAACCAACAGCGGCAGAGAGTGAAGTGTTTCAGGTTTAGGGGCGAGTCATTGCTCGAACTAGATCACACGTCTTCCAGATCACACGGGAAAGTTCAGCTCGACACACCTTGCTGCCTCAACGCGTTTCCCCGAGAACAACACAGGACTACCTTTTCATTTAAAATGAAAAACTGTCACTTGACACTGACGTCACATGCTGCGGCCGACTAGATTTAGCGACCCTGATGAAAGTAATGGTCTACATACGAGAGAAACCCACTCCAAGTTTCGAGCTGGGGGTCGTAATACATCCCCTGCAGTGGGCTGAGGGAGCTCCTCCGCCCGTTGGGCCTCCAGCAGGGGGAGCAGGTCCTGTACAGGGATACCGAGGCTCTCCGGGTCGCCACCGAAGAGCGTCTGTTGGGTAAGGGTACCCCCCGCCCCGGCCAGGGGCTCCCAGCCTTGGAGATGGTGGAAATTCTGCGGCTGCCGCCAGCGTTCAAGGAACCACTGGACCGGCGCCGCTGGCTAGTTCTCCTATATTTCCCGTAGAGTCCGTAAGAGCTCTTGCCGTAAAACACAGCCTCAGCCGGCAGCAGGTGGGAGGAGTTCCTCCGAAGGCACCGAGGGGCCCTGATGAGGGGCTTGGCGTTGATGTTCTCCACCTCCAGGCCACGACACATTTCCAGGTCCTGCGGGCTTGGGAGTGCCGTGTCTTCGAACTCCCGGTCGGAAACCGAGATTTCGCTCCAGTCCTCTCGGTCCGAGCAGCAAGCACCGTCTTCCTCATCATCTTCCTCCTCCTCCTCCTCCTCCTCCTCCTCCGATTCACAGCCGCTGGTGCAGGGGCTGTCGCCTTCCGAGTCCGAGCAGGACGGGGCTTTCTTCTTCCCCTCCCGCCGCATCGCGAGCTGGCGTTCCCCGGGCTGCAGGGACCCATCCTCCTCCTCCTCCGTCATCTGGATCAGGCTGGCCAGCAGCATGGAGGGCCCCAGGAGGTGGGTGTCTATGGTGCGCAGCTTCCCCCCACGTCTCCTGCGCACGGCGAAGCGCGGGTTGAGGCACGGCGTGGTGGTGCTGGACCGGCGCCGTGCCTGCTGCGACTTCACCAGCCTGCTTCCTCCCGGGCAGCGAGCGGCTGGTCCCACAGGAAGTCCCTGCATCTGAACACTAGAGCGGCGCCTCTGAGTCAGCACGGCCGAGGGCAGCCCCGCGCTGGAGCGTCTCCTGGCTTTGCTGGTTGGCACTGCCACACTGGTACGTCTGTGCCTGCAGTACTCGGGGGCGGTCCCACAAGCAGCTGTGGCCTCTTTCCTCTTAAAGTGCCGCCGGAAAAACGTATCCATTTCGCCCAGAGGTACGTGGCTAAGGGCCGGCCTTTTAAGTGCTTGCTGTGACAGCTGTTAACGCAGAAATCAGTCGATCAGCACAGATCAGAGAAGTAAATAACAGCTCCTACTGTTACAGGGAATGCAGTACTGTTCTTTAGACCTCAAATGTTAAACAAAGAGGTCATGCCTTTGAAGCCGCCATATCAAATACTACCAGTGAGAGAATTTAATCTACTAGGATGGTCTGTGGCTGCTGATTGTCTGAGCCGATTGTCTGAACCAATGCAACAGACTTGTGTTGCAAGTAGAAAATGGGATTCTAATGAGTATGTTACTGCCAAAAGAGTTATCAACTTAGGTTGATCACTTAACATTGCACAGCTTTACAGACATTGTGAATAGACACCAGGATAAAAATCTTGTGCTAAAATATCACAGACCTACTTTTTAAGTACTTTAAGCTTTTAAAGACCCTATTAAAATAAGTGCAAATGATGGTACTGTAATGTTAGTGCATCCTTGTGCACTTGTTTAAATGATTTGCACTGCTGTCGTTTCAGCTGCTCTTTTCTTGGAAGGTTTTTATTGCTTGCATGTACAGTATGTGCCCTGATATCCCAGGATAAACTGATCCTTTAATATATGTGATGTTATTAACCCTCAGATAAGTTGTTTAATACTTCTGAGAAAAAGTTGTAAGAGCACATTCTTCTGACTCCAAGTTAATCTATATTTGTTAAAATAGTAAAAACTTTACTCTGTTGAGCAAGCCAGAAAAATACCACTGAAAAAAGCACTGAGCCCTTTCAGACTACATGTGTCACACTTTTAGCTGGACTGTCTCAAGAGTCGTCTGTCGAGTCCTGTGGTTACCCAACCTGGCTCTCCTATGATTTTTGCTCCAACCGGGTTCATCATAGGCTAATTAATTTCACTTTTCTGTTTGAGGAATTTTCTTTAAATTTGCTTCCAGCACTTTAAAGGGTCCAAGAGGACTGGGAATTGATATCAAACCAGACAACAAGCTCTGCCTTTCAGAACCACCCTCATTCAGGAGTGTAGCCAGAAATGAAGTCAATGGACGTCAGCAAAAGGACAGAACACTCATTGCTGGCATGTCTGATTGTATCATTCCCGCCTGTTTCTCTTTATCATGAAGCAGTCAACTAGAAAGAGCTTCTTACTAGATAACGGCCAGCCAGAAGAGGAGATCAGGAGTGAAGTTCTGTGTTCTCAAGTTGCTGAAAACAGTACCCTTGAAGTAGGGTATGTACGATACTCAGGACTGATCATGTCTGAAAAAGACGTCTGAACAAGCAAGGAGATTAAGCTCTTTCAGGTTCAAGGGTGGGAACCACTGATACAAATCCAATGAATAATCCCATTGCAGAAGTAAGATGTAGCAGCATTCTACCCTAAATACCCACAAAAAATGGGAGCTAAATTTGGCACACCGATTGCAGTTTATGTTCAGCTTTTGCTGCAACAGTAGCTTTTCTTCCCAAGCCATAGTCCTTCTTTGCAATCTGTGCTTGTGAACTACAGTAGGATCTGGGTTGTCCTCATCCATTACCAGGATTAAGATTAATGTTTTTGGCACAAACATAAAAAAGTAAATTGGCAAGGTGGGGTGCAGGCTAATAACAGTGTTCTTGCTGCTGCATTTTCCAATTAACTTATTACAGGCCATCAACAGAAGAAGCCTCATCAACTTTGCCTAATAAAAATGTCAAAAACTAAAAGAGCACTCCTTGATCTTAGGAGTACCTTGTGTGATCTTGACATACTGTACATGTTTAAATTCATTTAAAGAGATCATGTGAACAATTTTAAAAATACGAGCATCAATAATATATTACTGCAGGAATTCTGCATTTCAAACACAATGATCTATTCAAAAGACAAACTGGAGAGAAAGATTTGAATTAATAATCATACCCAGTATTTGTAGCAAATAAATGCCCTACAATTGCATACTTTAAAAGATATAACTGCCTCTGATTTACAACATTCAAGATTATTTACTACACCTTAGCATTTATGATAAGCCATTAAAATGTCATGGATCCCACACCCTAATTTTGCCAAAAGTGGTTTTGGTGTGGTTAAGTAGCTATAGTAAGATAAAGCAGACGCAACAAAACATACACCTCCACTGGTCTATAGAAAGCACTTGCTTTGCAGGAAACCACAGTTAGTGTTCTCACTGCTTCATCTTTTGAAAGGTCAGTTATGTCATACCAGTGAGTGAGTGGCTGGGTTGAAGCCGGCCCGTTTCTGCCGACTGAGTTTTTTCAAAGGTTTTGGAACATGTACCTGAGGTCTGAAAAAGCAAGTGTAGAACCAACTTGTGAGGCTGGCTTGTCACATCTGCACAAGGTCAAGACGCCTTAGGCTGTGCGGGGCATGGGCCAAATCTTTGCGGCTGTAAAGACGATATATGCCATCCACCATTTTCAAGGAAATCTTCTCTGAAAGAGTAACTTACAGTAGGTCACTCACTCATGCGGCAGACCTTTTGTAGAATGTCGTGTGAAATTCTTAAGACAGTAAAAAAAAACGTATAGAGAGACCCAGAGATGGAAACTGGGAATGAGGTAAATAGCTCCCTGGCGGTTCACAGCAGTACAGACCAAACTCCATCCATTAAAGTGAACCAGATTAAATACAGGAAATAAAAAACTAAAGTTACAAGCAGAATAAGTCCTTACATGAGCACAGAATCTATACTCGGTCAGTAGACTTTAAAAAAAATGTATGAAGCACAGATGCAAGGTTTCTTCCACTACATAAAGTTTACATTTTAGAAGTGGTGATTAATTAGTGTTCATTTGGAAGCCAGTTTCTGGTTTCCCAGAAGAATGATGAGGAACTCATTACAGTTTCTAGGACAGGTAATTCTCTATAACTTTGCTGCACTGATAAAACCATTAGTTCTTAACCTCAGCTAGTTTCAAATGCTACTATTCTTAAATGGCTGGAAAGCTCAGTGATGCAGTACATCTTTTACAGGAACCTCTGAAGACCTGTAGCTCAATAATGCAGCTAATCTAATCACTTAATAAGCCCACTTAAATGCCAAAGTAGACATCTAAACCTAGTCCCAAATGACCCAATTATTAATGCCTTTGAAGCTGAACGCACCTTTCTCTGCAGTAACATTAAAAAAGTAAGATTATTTCAATCAGTCATTCAAATGGACAGTTATTCTTTTTTTATGTAGTCAAACTTCAGAGATTTTTTTAGGCTCTCAAAACATCAAAATTTAATTTCAGATTTTTGCAGACATTTATAGTCATTAGAACAACAATCTGCTTTCAAAAGATCTACCTTGAGAGGACTCAAATTTTTATCTTAATTTCTCAGGGGTGAATGGTTTGGACAAATTTCACAAATTCATTTTTACTCTACATTCAAAATATATACCATTACTACTGCACGGATCTCCTTTGCACTCTGGTTTTAACGTATTCTCAGGCCTGTTAGTTAACATCACTGAACACCCACGCAAAATCCTTCCTTTTTTAAATCTAAATCAAATAAATAAATAAAACTCTCTGGAGGCTTTGATCTGATTGATAATTTATTCTATTTAAAAAAACCTACAGCAAACAGCCTCTCTCACAGACGAAAAAAAATGTAATGTATCCCAAAGCTGTGAATAATAAGAAAAGGCTAAAATGAGAGTTTCCGCCTTCCCTTACTAAACAAAAAGAACACATTGATTAATATTCAGAGACACAAAATGGGACCAATGCACCAGGCGAGAACAAAACACATAAAAAGAATAATTGAACTTCAAATGAGGATAAATTACATTACGACATGTATGCAATTGGAAGAAGCACTTTCTTTTCATTTTTTGTTGTTTTGGAAAGTGTATTATTTAAGTTTTCTATTCACTGCCCAGGAATTTATTTTCCTGAGCAAAAGCTTTGTGCATGTTTGCGTTGGGGGAAGCAATGAACACATAACCACATAAAAGAGAAATTCCTATTTTTTCTCCACACCACCCCATCTCTAAAACCCCTCCTCAAGTGGTAAAATCACCCACCAGCTCAAAATATTTTTGCACATATTTTATTGTTTTACAGTGAATATTTGCATATTTTGCACACACCTAACTATTTATTTTATTTTGTATTGCTGTACCTATTTTAATCTTTAGTCTATTCTGATGTCTGTTTTTGCTTGTCTTGGCCTCGGCTGCTGTTACACCTTCAGGATCAATAAAGTCTTATCTTTCACCCCATCACTACCCAGTAATATGAATTGCAGGAATGAATGAAGCTCCGATTTCCATCATAGGATAAGGAATGCTACAGTATGTTTATTTGGCAATCAGAGTTCAAAAGCATTCCCCTGGGTGAATTTATTCACAAAAGTAAATGCTTTGCATGCACAGAGGTGCACACATATGAGGCCACCACAACTTATTCTGGTTTCAGAAGTAACTGGTGTACCAAAAATAACAAAAACAAGTGCATAGGTGTTTGCTTTCTTTTTTCATAGCCACCAAGATCAAGCCAAAAGTAACAGACGCTGAAGAAACATACGCTTATACGATCAGAGTATGGTTGCAGTCTTAATCAGCGATGCAGAAGCATGATGAGCAAGTTGAACAAAAGTATGAATCACTCGGTGGATCAGTTTGTCTTGACATTTACCCATGACCACGAGTTGGGGGAAGTGCTCAGGCAGAGGAATTGTGTACGTCTTTAATAAACAAAAAAGGCAGGACTCCTAAAATGTCTCCTCAGTTTATATTCTACTCAGGCAGTATAAGGATTCATAGGAGAGGAGGGAAAAAAATCCAAAGATGGGCAGCCTCCAGCAGCTGTCATCTCAACAGAATTAGTGGGAACATGTTCCACAAAAACAAAAAAAAAAACATTTAACAGCAGAGGCAGGGCTGCTACATGATCATTTATATGAGGGGCCTGAGAGAAATCCAAGAATTTGTCAAATTTCCCCCTAAGGGAGAAGCAATATGGAAAAGATAAACCATTTCACATCATCTAAACATGTTGTTCAAGGATAAAAGTTATTAGAAAAGGCTTATGCATTTG